AATAATTCAGGAATTTTTTTTGCACGTCACCCTATAGTATATTGCACTCTAAGTATGCCATTTAGCATCTTTCTTCTTCTTACTAATAACTGTAAAAGAAAGATTTTTTAAACTTTTTTCTTCTGACCAGATTGTAATCGGACTCGACAAATTTAAATGACTTAAGTTATATTTAATTGCATAAAATTAATATTTTGAAATTAAATTATATATGTATATATATTTTTTAATTTTAATTTTAAGATTGTAATTCTAAATTGAATTTAACAGAAGTGGATGGACAGGACACAGTGTGAGCAGGATCCACCAAATTTTCAATTGGAATGGTTTTAGTAGAAGTTTGTATCACTAAGTCTTGAAATATTTGTCTTATTTTTTTTGGGTAAGAACACTTAAAATATATTCTTTATGTTAGGTGGGTGTTATATTCATTGTTTCAATAATTTGGCGGAAAGTATTGGTTGGTCAAATTATCCCAAAAAGAAAAGAAAAGGAGTCAAAATGTGCAGCTATACCGGTGTGAATGGAAAACATGGGTTTTGGTTTTGTCGTTTTGTGTATGTATAGCAGGACAAAAATAATAATAATAATAATAATAATAATAATAATAATAATACATAATTCAACATGGGTTTATTGAAGTAGATATTTTTGTTTGAAATTTTAACACGTACGGATGTTTACTTTTCATGGTTGGTGTGCGCGTCCAAACAGATAACACCAGCACCACCAAAGTTCATCCATCATTCTATGTTGTGCCGACTGCAAAAAGTCCATTTTTAAGTCTATGTAATTTTTTAATTTTATTTACCCACTTCCAACTTTATAGTTTATACAACTACTATTTGTATATATGTTTCCTTCTATACCACCTTTAATTCTTGGAATTATTACCTATAAATTATGCTGATCTTCCATATTTGTCGTTTGATGGAGTCAAAATTTCAAAATTTTAGAAAAAAAATGAAAACATGAAAAAATACTATTTAGTGATACCTGATGTACAAAAAGTAGTACTTATGTGAATAAAAGTAGTACCTCTATATTCAAAAGTCAAAACAAAAGTGATATCTAATGCACAAAAAGTGATATATGCATGCACAAAAAATAATACCTTTGTGTCTAAAAATAGTATTTCTGTGAGAGTGAATAATATTTTTTCCGGTCTATATCAACATTTTAATTAACTTTATTTTTTGAAAATGATAAGACTTTTGACTCCATTAAATAATAAATATAAGTAATTAACATCATTTATACACATAAAAATTCCTTAAGTCTTCCACCTCACCAATACTCACTTTTTCTCTCTTCATTTTTTTTCTTTTTTTTTTTGACACTTTCTCTAGAACATGTAGACGCGTACGGGAAATTCCAGCCTCAAAGCAGGAAAAAAGAGGATGGAGAAAATTTTGGTTATATTAGTTGGGTGTGAGTTTTTTTTTTTTTTTTTTTTTTTCCATATATATTTTGTAGTGTGATCTTCTAGATGACAGAAGGAAGAATATTATGGAATATATATATATATATATATATATATATATATATATATATATAATATATCATAAATTTTTTTTTTTTTTAATAATGGAAAGCATAAACTATGTAAACTGAAAGGAGCCCAAAAATATGTTTTATATAATTTTCAAATATATTGACAAAAGGGTCTCACCTTATGAAATCAAATGAACTTTAATGAAATTATATAGTATATATTTTTTCTTTCTACAATGCAAGAGAACAAGGATAGTATTAAACCAATTAAGAATTACAATCCGAAAATACCTCCAACCTCATATCCCATGTTGTCCTCGTCAATAAAATTATAAATAATTCAACATATATATGAAGTGTCTTATTTGCTTCCCGAAAAGAGAAAATTAAAATAAAGACTATATCATTCACTATATTGGCCACCAACATGAAATCATAATTTAGTGAATCAAATTCAGATTGATATAATAAAACTAAATAACCCATTGCATGTGTTGAGTATTATTGTAATACGTAGTATATGAAACTTTGATGACTGGAAGATAGGCGTAAAAGATATTTTTCAAATTGTGTAAGATATTTTTCACAAATTTTGATGACTGGAAGATAGGAGTATTATTGTAGTATACTAATAAAACACCGTACCCACCTAACTAAAAGTAATCTAAGGGATTAACCAGCACTTTTTCTCTTATTCAATCACTCTTTGAAATAGAAATGCATTTCTAAATAATACGCCTAGCTGTTTGTGCCTACGCATGCAGTGATGAACATATATAATAATTCTCTCTGCGACTACCAATTATATATATATATATATATATAGATATATACATGTTACATATATTGACTCCACTTCCTAGACAATAAGTCTTCCTCATTTATTACCTCTTGCGACTTCCTATGGCAAAGACATATGATGGAATGGATTGAGTGTGATATGGAACAAATTATATGATGAAGACACTTTTCAAAAATTATTATAACTCACATTATAAATATTTGATCTGTTTTCCGACCATCCCAAAAAATGTGCTTGTGGTGAGATGGGATGAAATAATGAAAGTAACAAAAAGTTCAAGAATTTAGATATAATAAGATAAATATAATATATATGAACAATAGAGGATTACCATATTGGACCAATGGTAGCAGTCGTATCAATTAATATGAAAAACAACAACAATACTAATAACGGTAGGAATTACAAAATTCACATAACACAAACAAGCTGTCCAAAACGATCGGATTAATGATGCTGAATGAGGCGAAATGTGTTTGTGCTATTATTATCTATATCTAAGTATAACACTGGCAGGAGTAATTTAAAGGGTCAAATAGTCATTTTAGTTAGATAATGGTAGTATTAAAAAAAAATAAGAATAAAATTATCTTTTCACATAATTTTAAGGTGTCAGTGACTGAAAAATAAAATTAAAGTAATTTCCAAAACATATTCGTTTAATATTTGTTTAAATTTCAAAAGGTGTCACTAAAATTAATCCTTCATTTAAATGAATTAATGGTTGGTGTGCCAAGAAAATAAATGTATGCAAGTCCACGTGCTATATTTTCAGTCACTGTGCAGTCAAAGTGTGCGTGTGTGTGTGTGTGTATATATATTAATATGATAACACGCCGTGTCCAAAATTAATTAAAGAGGTTTCAAAGATGAAGATGGTTGAAATAAAACAATGGGTTGTGTATGGGCGTGCGGGCATGGAGTATGGTACTAAGAAAAACAAGTACTAGAAGTCAAGGACTTGGAAGTTAAAAGGATGCGTGACAAGAAAAAAACACATGGTTTTAAGAGAAAAATCGGCATATTATATATATATATATATATATACACACACACATATATAATCAAGACTATATTCCAAAATGAACGGACTGGAGATAGCACCCCATACCAAACTGGAAATTGGCAGGCCTAAAATCTTGAAATATAGTACAAGAAGACTTGAGAATGTAGACTCCATCATTGAATAGCGCTATTAACCTAATTTTATATTATCACCTCATTATACCATTAAAATTGACCCAGAAAACCAATGCCTTCTCCACCCATAAATATACACAGAACACGTACATCAATATATATATATATCTTTGCATCTTTCCACCCACACTTTTTTTTTTTTTTTTTGGGTTAATATATTTCCACCCACATTTTTGCATTCCAAAATAATCCGGAATAGCAAAAGAAAATGATTTTTATTAGAACCATGTTTAGATATATAAAGAAGCTACATATTTGTACTGGACCGTTCAATAGATCCCTCTGGATTTTTATTTTTATATTTTACCTTTCAAAGCAAATTAGAAAAATACTCCGAATATAAAAAAGTTGATCCAATGTTTCGACATGGATCAAAATGACAACAAAAGTTTTTTCATTGTCGCTCATATTCCATGCCTCTCTCAAAATACAAAATTATTATATGATTACGCACTATTCCCCGATCAATCACAAATTGTCTCCAAATTACAAATTATAAATTATTATATGATTCTAGAATCATTTCCCAACAAAATACAAGCAAAGCAAAAAAATCTGAAGCAAAATAAATACATTTTAGTTTTGATCCAACACCATATAATAATTTCTCTCTCAAAATTTATTAATAAAGTTAGTCACGTAATCCATGTCATATACCACTATGATGGGTCAAACACATTATAGTCAAAAATAAACTGAGGGTTTGAAATTGACAGATTAATTTTTTGCGAATATCTGTTTATGTAGTGGACAATATTTAGGTTTTTACTAATAAGAATATATACCATCTTGACTCCTAATATAAATTTTTTTTTAATTATCAAATCATGTGGGATACATACTAACTCATCAAATCATAAACGAGTATGTATCCCACCATCTCTGATTTGGTAATTTAAATAGATTTATTGATTTATTATTAGTATTATATATATATATATATTTCCTTTCCAAAAACAATGTATAATTACAATTAATAAAAATGTCAAGTGTCACCAACTTTGATAGATATAGTGACCTCTCAACTTACAACGACACCTTTTCCATATTTATTCAACATAGTGAAAACAAAGCCTAAGGATACACAAACACATACATATATGAATAATTGTGTGTACACTGTAACACACATTATATATATGGAGAGATAACCCAAGAGGTTGATTAGATCAAGTGGATATAAGTCACTTGGCTTGGTGTCTCCAGAAGCATAGGATTGGACTCCTCTCAGGAGATTACCTACCGTAGGGCAAAGCTTAGGACGTTTATCTGCTATAAAAAGGTGACAGGTTTTGCCTGCAGGAAGTATTCCCAAGACAAATACAATCATCAACAAAAGGTGGTGCAAAAAAAAAAAAAAAAAATCAACAAAATGTGAATAAACCCAACAATAGCCAAGCATACCACCAAAAAGCCTACTCATCGCCCTGAAAGCCTGGTATCGACAATAAATGAATCCAATGGGCCTCCATTTCAAAGATGATAGGAAATCACTGTGAAAGGCTTCAGAAAAATTGGAACCTTAAATAGTTTTAAAAACGGCATCGTAACCCCTCAAAGTGGGGGAAATGCATTGTACAAGAAAGACTGACACTAAGTAAGTCATGGTCGATAGTATAACAAGTTTTGTACAGAAGAACATCACATAATGAACCCCAAAAACCTCTCCTTTCTGAGACGTCCCAACCAACTGATACCCACCCATTCTTAAAATGTTTTCATTTTGGAAGCCCTCCTCCGTCGCCTATTTGGCATTGAATTCTTCATCCCTATGAAAAACAGCAATGCCCCAAAAAGTGCCATGTTCTGCAATATAACCATATAGACGAGACATACATCATCAAATATTACAACACCAAGTCTAGGCTCCAGAGCAGAAATTAGGAAAGAATTTCAAACATCGCTAACCTGTATAAATTTGATGAAAAGCTGACTAAATTCTCTCTCCTCAATGCCATAGTTGAAGAAGTCATACAAAATAGGAGTAACAATTATCTGATGCATAAGCTGCACAAAGAGAAGATCTCAGCACTTAAGGAACTAAATCAGTACCGAGAACAGAGTTTATAGTCACCAATGCAAGTAAAATTGTAATCAGTTTATTTTCCGGGAAATAAAATAAAATAAATAAATAAATCAATCGTAACCAGTTTGAATACAAACCAGAAGATAGGCCCCAAGAGAGTTGCCAAAGATGAAAAGGATACCTCCAATGCCCTTTATAATTATAGCTGTGCCAACTAAATGTTTGATCTGTGGCATAACATCACTCAAAATTATATAAACACCACAAAATTACTAACACCAGAGTGACTTCAATTAACTGTATCATTATTTATAGCTTCTGTTGTTCAACAGTCATAAATATATTGTGTAGAAATCTAAAGTTTAAATTCCATTGTGAATGCTTATTTTCAAAGTGATATGTCCGTCAAAAAGAAAGCCCTCCAAAACGGTGCAAGAAAGCATACATTAAGACATTCCATATCTCATTTTGGCACTTCAGTTATTCTGACTGTTGCCTCGTCATATCAGACTGTTCACCTTAGCCCTCTTAAGTGCAAGTTAGCAAAAACTTTTTACATGTTAACCTCCACCACCTACCATCCAAAGCCCCATCACAATTTCACTAGACAGTTTTTCCCAAAAGGAACAGGAATTCCAAAACAAACAGATATTGGTCACAAACACACTACATTTTCCCAATAGACAGATTTTTCTGTCACCTTCACTGCATTTAATTTCAACTCTTACTCATGTTTCTACAAGTTGACAAACTTTCAAATGTGTATGTCGGTGGGTGGGTTAGTTGTTGAGAGACTTACTTCAGTATCTGGCACTTGTATACCAGCTTTAGAACTGACAAGGTGAGTGAAGACATTAAATTTTGGTTTAAGAGCCTCTGCAGCTGGACCCCCATTGAATCCAAATTCGTTAAACCTAAGAAAATAGAGACAGCACAACATTTTAACAAAAAAATTAAAATAAAGACATTACAATATCAAAATCAATGCATGTCAAAGGCAAATCATCCTTCTCAATATTATCAGATGGAAAAGAAGGGGATTGTGCAGAGCACAAGAAACAGTGCTGCTTCAAAACCAAGTACCTCATGCTACTTTACAGAGGACAGGATATCACTAACTTGATACTGCTGCTAAAAAATAAGTCTAGGGAAGTTATTTAGATGGACTCATTCATCATATCTCTTTAGGCACTTGCTTATTGCTTGATAACATAGATCCGGATGGGGAAGGTCTTGGGCATATATGGGCAGGTTCGCAGCACTATCCAACAGCATAAGCTTTTGAGTTAGAAAGCAAGCGTCCATCCCTTTACATGTGGTATCAAAGCGGGCCCAGTCCTTGATCCTGAGTCACACCAAGCGCCCACCCGGATGGAGTCTGAAGTCGGGTCGGGTCCTCTGGTCATTAGGGGGGCATGTAGGCAAGGTGGTCCGACCGCATCGAGGACGTTGCAAGTTTGGGTGGGAGAGAATGTTAAAGGGGCCTTGTCTCATATCGGATCAAGATGGGGAAGGTCTTGGACGTATATGGACGAGTATGCAGCACTACCCAACAACTTAAACTTTTGGCAAGGTTAAGAGTAGATGGCATCTATAACCAAACCCAAACAAACAATGAAAATGACGGGTTCAAACATTTTATTAACAATATGAACTGCAGCCAGCTTTACCAGTTCTCCTAATCTATATCATTGGATAAGAAGACATCATCATCATTCCTATGAATACGCTACCGCAATCACACAAAAATTCCTCTCACTTTACTTCTAGCCGTATTTCTCACTCAAATACAATAAAAAAACATGTAAAATACTTTCTATAAGCACCCGAATGAGCCGAAAAAAAAAAAAGAAGTGATTTTGGCATTAATAGAGTCAAACCCATAAAAGGACAAGGAATTTGAACCATAGTGAGTTATATTTCAAAATAGTTTGGAATTAGAGCAAATAGATTTGCAATGTTTCAAAAAAGGATAGGTTGTTACAGAATTTAAAAAAGGATAGGTTGTCACAGAATTCAAAAAAGTAAAATTCCATATTCGCCTAGTAATTAAATACTCATTCCTGCTATAGTTTGAAGTTTGAACTGCTATAATAGAAGATGAACTATTCTACACTTCTGTCACCATCCAACATCCATTTGGTAGCTGAAAAGAAGGGGAAAAGTTGAAGAAAATTTCAAGTTCTTACCAACCAATTTTTTGTTTCCAAAAAATAAAAATCAAAACTCAACCAAACCATACCAAGCTTAATTAAGTAGAGCTTTATTTTGTATTCCCAAGGCCTGGATAATGATGAATTATAACTAATATTCTTAATTTTTTCCAACCTTTCCTACGCAATCAAATAGGTGAAGCACGAAAAAGAGATATTTCACTAATTATATAACATCAGCATTGAACTTAGTATCATGAACAAGAGACAAGTGGCTGAGCCGGAAATTTTTACACGGTAAGCCTACAGATTGAGCTAAGTCATGCCTAATTTTGTAGTTTGAGCATAAGCTAACACTAGCAGAAATTGTACTTGTTGATATCAATGATATTAAGCATTATTGACATATCAAATCATACAAGCTAAGATTATGGATAGAGAACAAGCTATGGAAAGTAGCAGCCAGCTTTATGACAACAGAAACAAGGAATATTATAAACAGGTTTTCCAAGCTTCAACATCCCAAACCAGTTGTCCAAATCAAAAAGCTATATGTCAGGTTCCAACTTCCAATTCAAATTCTCTATAGAATGTCACAGAGTTAGTATGATTTGATAATACAAAAAGTAGGTTCGGGATGTGCCACACCAGTGACCGATAGCTTCAATGCCATTCTAGAATGATAAAGGACACCGTGTGGAAGCATAATGCAAGGAATTTGCAAGGCAATCTTGAAACAACTTTACCCCATAAAATCTTAACAAAGGAAAATTTATGTTTAAATCAGATTATAATATTAAGTAACAATTTTGATGTTTTAGTCTTTAATATGTCCATTCAGTCGATATGAGGAAAATTAGGTCACAAGAAACTTCTAATAATTTATCCATACGTAGCAACCAGAATAGTAGTGATCACCATTTGAAGTATCTCTAACATTGACAATTTATAAACATGGATACACGATTGAAGATGCTCTCATTATTTCATTTCATGCTTAAAAATACAAATAAAAATAGAAATAAAAATAAAAAAATCATTACATTACAACCAACACAAGCGTGAATTTAATAAACTAAGAACCACTGCAATGGTTCAGCATTAACACCTTTTAAAAGCTAAAGTCATATAACTCCAACAATTAAATAATATATATTTTTTTTTTGGAATAACTTTTTCTTTATAAGGTAATATTTATTTGGAATAAGCCTTTATACACCACTGAAATAAATTCAAAATTTATTTTTCAAATAAACCATCCGAGATCCAAAAATAGTAGAGCCTAACCTGAATCAAATAATCGGAAAATGTTGCAGATCCAAGAAAATCTTTAATAACGATGAAATTGTTATATACTAATAAATATGAGATGATAAATTAGTGGAGCACTACTCACTCCTGATAAGCAGAGAGAATGAAGACAGAGGCGAAGAGAACTCTCCCAAGAAACGACGCAAACGCCATACTCCTTTTGTTTTTGATTGCTGGAAACCTCGCCAACACACACACACACTCTCTCTCTCTCTCTCTCCCTCTATATATATATATATATGTCTCTATATATATATTTACCGAAGACGTGAATTGGACTTCCTGGGCCTTTGGGGCAAACGGCGAAGGTTGGTTTTTGATTCTGAAAAAACCGTGTATTTTTGCTGCCGGTCCTCTTTAAAGACATGGGCGCGTAAAAGAGGGCTGCTTCAACTACGTACCGTGTCTAAAATGCCATTTATCTTTAACAAAAATTACTCTAATGCCCTCTTTATTGTCTTCACCTCAGTATGAAGATCCTTCTAGTGAACTCTATAAAGCCCTGTTGGTTTAAAAAAAAAAAAACTCTATAAATCCCTTCACATAATCGATTAATAAAAAAACATAGTATCATATTGTAACATAAAATTTAATCAATTTAATTTTGAAATTTCATTATCGTTATCAATTTTTTACTGGTAAAATTTTACATAGTAAGATTTTAAATGTAGTGTCAATCTTAAAATACAATAATGCTATGTTTCTTAGTTTCGAATTGGTCGTTTTAATTTGAAATTAGAAGAAATTTATGTTTTGTCATGTAGGAAGGAATGAAGAAGGGTGGAAGAAAAATAGGAAGGAACGAACAAACTTTCGTCGTTCGGTAGAGATGAAATGACGAAAGAAAGAATAATAGAATGGATGATCCTTCGCAAATTTTCATCCTGCCAAATATGGGCCTAAGAGAGGAGAGAAAATAAATGAGCTTATTACAAAAGTTTTAAATTACTGTATAATCCTTCATAAATATTTAATAAATCCCATGAATAAAATAGATGATCGGTTTAATGGTAAAATTAACTTAAAATTTTCTCTTTCCTTTTATCATACTGACCAAAGTAAATTGTCAATTTCTTCTCTTCTCTTCCATCCAACCGAGCAAAAAGATAAAAGATACAAACTAATCCTTTGGGATGTCTCGTTAATCTCTTCTTCTCTCTTTTCCATTCAATTTTCTTCCTTCCTACCTAATGAAGCATTAATGAAAAGTTTAAATTGAATTTTTTCAATCTCAAATCAAATACATTGTTTTGGATCTGACCCAAAAGCTCACCTTATCATGGTATAGATTGGATGTTAGTTCCACCTAACTTAAACTTTTGGGTCGGATAGCGAAACACCCACATAAGCCAGATCCATTCCTTGTGATCCGGTGCCACACATTGTTCAAATTTCACTCAATATTTGATATGCAATTTAAAGTGGCCTAAAATAAAAATCCATTCCACAACTAAACCTATGGAATGACCATTCCATTCCTAAGTAATTTTTTTTAAAAAAATCAACTTCCCAAAAAACTCTCATGTTCCAAGTCCAAAACCTACCACTACCTTCCACCATAACCACCTCTGCCTTCAACCATAACCACCACCACCGCCTTCCACCATAACCACCATCACCGCCACTGATTTTCACCATCGCCTACCGATTTCCACCACCATCACCACGTACAACCACCTCCTTTCACTTTCGCTACTGTTACCACCTTCCACCACTACCACTGCCATTGTCTTTCACTACCGCCACCACTTTCCACCACCATTACTACCTCCTTCCACTACTATTGCCGCCACCACCGTTACCGTCACCGCCACCTTCCATAACTACTACATTTCACCATAGCCACCGCCTTCCGCCACCACTACCACCTTCTACCACCGCCTTTCACCACCACTACCACCGCATTTCACCACCGCCAGTGCCCACCACCGCCATTGCCTTTCACCGCCACCACTACCTTTCACCATCACCGCCGCCGCCATCGCCTTCCACTACCGTCATTTCCTTCTACCGCCACCGCTGCCTTTCACCACCGCCGCCGCCGCCATCGCCTTCCACCACCGCCATTGCCTTCCACTACCTTCTACCAACGCCACTACCTTCTACCACCGCCACCACCACCGCCATCGCCTTCCACCACCGCATTCCACCACCACCGCCACCGCTACCGCCTTCCACCCCCTTCCATCAACACCATTATCACCACCACCCCCACCACAATCACTTCCATTAGTTTCCACCTGTCACCTACACCACTATCTCCTTCCACTACCACCACCAACACCACTGCCGCCTTCCACCAACACCACTGCCGCCTTCCAGCATTGCTACCACCGCCACCTTCCAATACCACCACCGCCACTGTCACCATTTATTTTTATAAAATTATTAGAGAATATCATTTTGTTAATTTTATTTATTTGTTACTAAGAAAGATATTTTGGAGAATTCAATTTAAAAAATATTCCAACCAAATAATAGAATAAGAATGACCATTCCATTCCATTCATATTCTCATTCCATTCCCACTTGCATTTCATACCATTTCATTCTCACTTGCATTACACATCAAACACAGCATGATGACATCAATTCACAAGTGCAATTTACACAATGAGCAATCTTTCTCAAAAAGACCATTGAAACACAAACAACACCAAAGACGACGAAGCAGGGGGATGATCCAAACATCTCTTACTTTTTCGTCACTCTTGTCGAGGTTTTCTTTGTAGAGAGATTGTCTCGTTTCATATAGAGTTGCGTGTTTGTGTTCATCGCGATCTTTTTGAAGGTGCTTAATTAATCGATGGTGCGGCTCTCTTTCTGAGTTGAGCGTGTGAGTTGGAGGAGGTTGTGTCTGTTTTGTTTGGGGATATTTTGGGTTTTTGCTTCGTCTTTGTGTTGGGTGTGTTGATTTTACTTAAGAGATATGGCGTTAGTCTGTAGCTACTTTAGATTTCGCCTTACGCTTACTAAGGTTACCATATTTTTGTGGATTTGGTGGAGTTATTTGCCGTTGTTATGTATTATGTTTTATTTTCCTTTTAGTTTGTTATCTGTCAGTGGTTTTTGTAGTGATCTTAATCATTGGCTAAGTCTTGTTTGGATTTGGATATGGCTCTGTCTTCTTTTGGTCGCCTATGATGAGTTGATTGGGTGTTCACTGTCTTTGTTTACAAGCCGATGGAAAGGGGCGTCATGGACGCGATCTTGATGGCGACTACTTCCATCACTGAGTGTGGGTTAGTTGATAATAGGGTTTTATTGGCCGATGATGAGTTGTTCCAGATAGGAATAAGTGTGGCGGTGGTGGTTTCTGGAACGCTCGGGGTGAAGATCAACTCCGTGGATGGACCTCATTGTTTTACAGATCTTGGGTTGTTGGCAGGGAATCTGTAAGGTTGATCCTTTCTGGAGTTTTCTTATTGGCATTGGTGGGTGAATTTCAGGTCGATGTGTATTCCGTTGGCTTCTGCTATCATTACTTCTTCTGTGGGACTAATCGGTGTGTTTTGGTTGGGTCACCTTTGGTGGTCGGCTTCTGGCTTTTTGGAGGCCAACTTTGTAACGTCAGGCATGACGTGTCCTCAAGATTTTTTTATTGATATTACTTGCTTGCTATGGGGCCCTTCCCTTGACTTTTTTCACCCAATATCTAAGGCGGTGTTGCATATATACTCTCGAGGTATGCGTTTTACTGCGTTGTAACTTTATTTTTTACGAATTGCTATGATGTGTGTGGTTCCGCTGGCTTGGCGTAGTGGATACACTTCTGGCTTAGACAATTTGGATCCTATTTATTTTTCTCATGTTATTGCTGCGTGTGGTCCTTTGTGCTTAGTCTCTCGAGTTCTTCTTCTACTTGTGCTTTCACTTTTCTTTGTGTATTTTTCCTTTGAGTATTTTGTTTCTGATTCTAACTGGCTTGGGAGATATTGGTGGGGGGTAGTAGGGTCCATTGTGTTCTTTTGTTGGGTTATTCTTTGCAGGATGGAGATGGAGTCAACTATTCTGGATCAGTTTTAAGGTTTGATATTGATTCAGAAGGAAAATGAGCCCATCCAGCTGTTAATGGAAGATATTACCCATAGTGACCAAATTTGTCGATCTAGTCTCTTTGGAAAGGTGTGGGCCTCTAAAACTACGACTTTGGCGGGGGCAAAGTTTACCTTTGGTAAGCTTTTTAATAAATTGTGGCTAAAAGATAAGCAGCAGGGACCTCTAGCTAAGAGGTTACAAATTTTTAAGGTGGCGCGCAATTTTTTTCAACTACTTATTCCAGATGCTTCTATTCGTCAACGTATTCTGGATGGTTGTCCATGGATTTTTTATGGATATTTAGTGGTGCTTAAGGAGTGGGAGGAGAGTTTATTAGCGTCTGATCTTCCTTTCCAAGTCACTTCGTTTTGGATCCAACTATTTGATGTGAACGCTAATCTTTTGTCAAAGAAAGTTAGGAAAAAATTGCCACTTCTTTTGGTCGATGTTTGAAAGTTGAGTTGCGAGATAAAGGTTTGAATGAAGGGAAGGAATTGGTGATGGCAGTTAGTCGTGTCCTTCGCATTCGGGTGGAGATGGATATTACACAGCCTTTTCGGTGGCATATTCTTCTTACCAGTCCGAAAGGTGAGGAGTCCAGGGCGCTGGTTCTCTATGAGAAGTTGCTGATTTTTTGTTTTGTGTGTGGTATAATTGGCCATCAGTGGAAATCTTGTCTTAATGGGATCTCTGTGGGTCCTAGGGCTCCTATGGAGTATGGGACTTAATTGGTGTTGATGGTTTTTTAGGCAAAGATCTTTGGAGTTTGGAGCGGGATGGGGTGGATTTAGTTGGTGAATGACATGTTAAGAATTGGATGCATGTGGAAGACGGGGATGTTGATGATGTGGAAGGTATTGCTGGGTCTAAATCTTCTTCTACGTTTCGCCGGATTCCTGGTTTGGAGGTTGATCTTTATGCTTCGTTTGGCATGCCTGTTAGTGGTCAGGGGTTTCCTTTGGGTGAGAAATTGGGTAATAAAGTGATTTCTTTTTCGAGTGTTGGTGGTCCGTCATGCAAGGTGGGGGGTATGGGTTTTGGGGACTTGTCGGGTGGTGATGGGTTTTGTTAGACAGGGGTTGTTTTGCGGGCTCAGGACACACGTCAGGGTGCGATTGTTTGTCCTTCTAGTGTGCCTGTTTTGCCAACAGAAGGCGGCTTACTACCAGGTTTTTCATCACAGAGTCATGTGGCGTCGGCACATAATGATGAACTTATGGTTTCGGAACCTGTTATTTCTCCTATTAATGGTCGGATTATTCCTTTGCAACAAAGGGATGAAATGTCAAAAGGCTGGAAGAAAAGTCAGTCAAAATCAGTGTTTGGGTCTACTTCTGATTCCTCTGCTACTTTTCACAGCTAAGGTTCCTCACCAGCTCGGAAAGGTAGGAAGCGTAGGCAGTCTAACTCGGGTGGTTCTTCAGGCGGCCGTTTGAGAGGGGAGAAAAAGTTTAAGGCTTTGGTTGCCAAAGATGTGGTTCAGACGGTTGCTATGGATGTTGTTGGTGGTATGGTTGGTCGGCGATCTGAATCTTCTGAAAAGTCTGGGGCTCATCTTACGGATTCCTATACTTCGGAATCATCTTAGTCATTTACGACTCAGCTAGCTTTGCTTGTGGGTGCTAGCACTCTCACAATTACTGGCATGTTTTAGACTTAGGTTGTTGTCAAGACTGCGATCTTGACTTGGGTGTTAGTTTGGTTTGGCTAGCTTTTTGTTTTTTTTTGGTGATGTTTGTGGTTCACGTCGGATGGTGCTCTTTGCTTTGTAGATGCCGTTTGGCATTGGCGCTTTTCTTGTCATGATAATTAAAAAAAAAACACCAACAAAGCCGATTATTTACCATTTTCTCAATTATTGTCATTAGACAATAAAACTACGATGAAGACGACGCTGATGAATCGTGTTGAAGGAAATGATTATTTTGGATTTGTTTTTCACTCAGATTTTTTTGGATTGCATACAAGATATTTCTCTGTTACTTTATGAAAAGACCTATACAGGGCTTTTCAAAGGCCGACTCATCGAGAGTAGATTTGTCTAATTATAAAATAATGTATTACAAAAAAGGATATTTACATAATCAATTATTAAATGATTACTCTCTTTTAGTATTTAAGTATTGTTGAACAATTTTGTTTGGGTTAATTTTTTACAAGTCAGGTTATTATTATATACTGTATTTTTTTGTCAGATTATTTTTAAGTAACTCAATATACATATATATATTTTTCAATAATAAAATTGTGGAAGACAGCGTAATTTCAAGTTCAACAAACACATGTATTTTCGGCTTAAATACCTTTTTCACTCGTAAGGATGCTCGAAAACATATTTTCGGCTTAAATACCTTTTTCACTCGCAAGGATGCTCGAAAAAGTATTTTCGGCTTAAAATGGGTCTTTGATTCCACCGGATCAACGAGAAACAATCTTGCTTTGAAATCCTCTTTTTGGCTTGCACCATTTTTCGCCACAGTTTCAGTTTCTTACTTTAGCACCGTATCTAATCAGATCTAGTTGGTCTATGTATGTATAATGAGAGAATGAGTGAAATATACAATAATAATAAAAGTATACATGAGTACAAAAAATTAACTGTGGTAAAAATATCCTAACATCCTCCCGCAATCTAATCGGGACTTTGACAGACGTTTAGATTGGACCGAAGAAGTTGAAATCGAGAAGTAGACAAGCCCTTTGTAAAAATATCAGCAATTTGTTGATGTGTCGGAATATATTGAATCAATAAGTCACCTGAAGCCATTTTCTCACTACCAAAATGGACATCAATTTCAATATGTTTTGTGCGAGCATGGATAATCGGGTTTGTTGTTAGATAAAGTAGCACTGATATGATCGCAAAAAACTTGAACAGGAAGAGGCAAATAAATATGAAGATCTTTCAAAATTTGCCGAAGCCAAATGGTTTCAGCAACACTTGCAACCAATTATTTGTATTGGATTCTACACTTGATATGGAAATGGTAGGTTGCTTTTTAGCAGACAGATAAAAAGTTTTTTACCAAGATAAATACAAAACCTCGTCATAGATATTTACAAAAATGATATTAACTGTGGTAAAAAAATATCCTAACACCGCACAAAGCAAACGGGTCAACGTTGTAATGCATACTTAGGGTGTATTTGGATAGGATTAGTTATGAGAAAAAAAAAAAGAAAAGAAAGGATAGTATTAGTGTAAAAAGAAAAGAAAAGAAAATAAAGGATAGTATTGGTGTGAAAAGAAAAGAAAGGATAGTAATAATTTCTATTTGTGTTTGGATAGACAGGGGAGAAAAGAAAAGAAATGATAGTTATTCTTGTTTGAATAAGATAGAGGAGAAAAGAAAAGAGGATAAACGCAAATTACTTTTTTACCCTTTTATAACCATGGGACTTGAATAGAATAATAAATCTGTGTATTAATTTGTGGAGGCTAATTTTAATATTATCAAAATAACACTAAAATCACTATCATTTCTTTCACTATCTCTTCCTATTTCTCAAAATTGAGAAAAAACTAAATAAGAGATAAAGAGGGATAGCTATCCCTCCTTGTCTCTCTTTATCCCTCCCTGTCCCTCCACTTAAGTTACCCAAATACAAACTTACACCAACCTCTCTTTACTTTTCTCTCCCTGTCCCTCCAAATCAACCCTACCAAACACACCCTTAAAGTTCTTCTCTGCTCTCAGTTTAGTTGCGACAATGATTAAAACTCTAACCAATTTCAGTCGTCCTTCAATTCCAAAATTCCTACAACCACCACCCAACCAACTCACTCAGAAACAGACTATCGTTGAGCAGTTGAAGAAATGTTCGAGTTTGAAAGAGCTGGAGTGTTTACTTGCCTCGATGATCAAGAACAACGCAAACCAAGACTGTTTCTTGATGAACCATTTTGTCACCGCCTGTTCGACCTTTCGTCGAACAGATTACGCTGTTCTAGCCTTCACCCAGATGGAAAATCCCAATGTATTCGTATACAATGCGGTTATCAGGGGCTTTGTTCGTTGTCTTGCCCCAATTCAAGCTCTAGATTTTTACTTTCAGATGCTGAAAGATGGAGTTTGTCTGACAAGTTACACATTTTCATCAATAGTGAAATGTTGCACCTTGACAGCAGCTTTAGGATTTGGAGAATCTGTTCATGGTCAGGTTTGGAAATATGGGTTTGGATCACATGTGTATGTTCAGACTGCTTTAGTTGATTTTTACTCCAATTTGGGTAGAATTACTGAATCAAGACAAGTGTTCGATGATATGCTTGAGAGAGATGTTTTTGCATGGACCACCATAGTTTCAGCTCATAGCCGAACTGGGGATATGAGTTCTGCGAGGAAGTTGTTTGACGAGATGCCTGAGAGGAACAGTGCTTCGTGGAATGCAATGATAGATGGATATGCAAGAAATGGGGATGTGGAGTCTGCTGAGTTATTGTTCAATTGCATGCCCACAAGGGATTTAATTTCATGGACAACAATGATCAATTGCTACTCTCAGAACAAGCAATATAGAGAAGCATTAGCAGTTTTCAATGACATGAAGACCAATGGAGTCAGCCCTGATGAAATAACGATTGCTTCTGTTATTTCAGCTTGCGCCCATCTTGGAGCTCTTGACTTGGGAAAGCAAATCCATCTTTACATAATGCAAAATGGTTTTGATATTGATGTTTATATTGGATCTGCACTAATTGATATGTATGCAAAGTGTGGTAGCTTGGAAAGATCCCTAGTGGTATTCTTCAAATTGTGGGAGAGAAACCTTTTCTGTTGGAATTCAATAATTGAAGGCCTTTCAGTTCACGGATATGCTGATGAAGCATTGGTAATGTTTAGCCGGATGGAGAGGGAGAACATTAAGCCAAATAAAGTTACCTTTATTAGCATTTTAAGCGCCTGCACACATGCAGGGCTGGTTGAAGAAGGACGTAGAAGATTTCTAAGTATGGCTCGTGATTATTCTATCCATCCAGAAATTGAACATTACGGGTGCATGGTTGATCTATTGTGCAAGGCTGGTTTGCTCGAAGATGCATTAGAATTGATAAAAAACATGACAGTTGAACCAAATGCTGTTATTTGGGGGGCCTTGCTGGGAGGTTGTAAGCTCTACAAGAACTTAGAGATTGCTCAAGTTGCGGTTAACAAGTTGATGGTTTTGGAGCCAAAAAATTGTGGGTATTACACTCTTCTACTTAACATGTATGCTGAATCAAATCAATGGATTGAGGTTGCAAATATCAGATTAACCATGAAGGAACAAGGACTTGAAAAGAGTTGTCCTGGATCCAGTTGGATTGAAATGGAAAGGAAGATTCATCAGTTTGCAGCTTCTGATGAATCTCATCCGGCTTCAAGCCAAATTTTCTTACTGCTGGATGAATTAGATGGACAGCTAAAGCTTGCTGACTATATGCCAGAACTTGGGATTATGTCATAGTTGTTTGTTCTGGTCTGAGGAAAAATGAAAATCAAAGACCATGCAATTGTGAAGCAGCTATATTTGTGTACCAGGGATCAAATGGATGCCATTAAGTAATGAAGCTTTAGAAGAGATTGGTGGAAGCTCCATATAGAGTGTTAGTCCATCAGCCGGGATACATAGAAGCACTCCAGATAGAGTCCTGCAAAACACACTGTATTTTGCACGATCAACACACTTGTATGATGATTAATTATCTTTTTATTTTCATATACCAATTTTTTTGCTTCTGGTCCTTACAATTTTAAACCTGTAAAATCTATTTTTCATTTTATTTTGACAGGAAAGTGTACAATGGTCCTTGTTATGCTAAAGGAGGAGAAGGATATGTCTTTTATTCTTGCAAGACTTAATATGGATGACAAATGCAATTTTGGTTTGATGAACACTGAGATCAATCATAAAGGTTAGGAATTGCTTTTCTAACATAAGCTCCTGAATCAGCATGCCAACTGCAAAGGTAATTTCTGACAGCTCCTCAACTGATGTGTTTAACAACTGCAAACTGTTAGTAATTGCTTCTCTAACAGTTTAAGCTCTATAACCAGCATGCCAACTGCAAAGGTAAATTCTGACGACTCCTCAACTGATGTGTTGAACAGTTTAAGTTGCCCTGCTGATACACTGGCATACAGAAAATTGCACATAAATTATGACCACCATATAGATTGTTATATTACAAAGTCATGGTTCTCAATGAACTTATCTGAACTTATGGTGACTTTATCCACCAAGGGTTGTAGCCTAGTGGAATATTTTTTACTTAGGTTGATTGTTCAGGTTGCTTTAAGAACAAAGTGGTTGTGTGGGTTATTTGACTGGCCAAGAGTTTTAACAGTTGGCGCACTTTGCATTCTGACCTAGAATTCCAGTACATCAAGAATGATTTTTTATTAATGGAAAAAAGAATAGAAGTAATTGGACATTAACCTTCTAGTTTACAACCCTACTTGTAAATTGGCATTCTACCTTTTAAGCTATATTATCAAATTTACTTGCATGAACTTGTACGTGAATACATGTTCCATGTGTTTATAGTAATATTTTATAATTTTTTGTCTCATTTAAAGTTGTTCTTTATCTATTTAAAGAATTTTTTAATATCATTTTATTATTTCCCCCTCATTTTTTAGGATCTTATCCAAAATCTCTCGCAATCGGATCCCATAGAACCCAAAGACGTTCCAATGTGGGAACCCTATCTTAACAATCTTGATATTACATATAAAACTAAGATGAATGAGAGCGCAAGTGAAATCTTCCCCTCGATTGCTTTCAAAAATTCTCTAAGAAAAGTTCAAGGATACTAGTTATAGGCAAAGCTGACCCACATCTGTAACATATTTTGCACTCAAATGGCTGAAGATGCATTATGCATTCATTCTCAACTCTTTCAATAACAGAGTTCTTTACAGAATCCATATTAATGCCAAAAAGAAAAAAGGTAGAAAAATTGTACTGTTGAAAAATGAAACGAAAATCAGAAGTTAAAAATTAGAGAGAATGATCAGATAGAGCGAATACACAAGGTCGATGCCATCACACTGGAAATCAAACCAAAATCATCACATCATTCTCTAACTAGTAAATAAAAAATAAAAAATAAATAAAAGGTGATATATGGTAATGAAAATTGCATAACTTATCATTTCTGTTTTTAACTTATTTCTGGTGCATTTGCTACGCAACTCTTTGTCTGTACAGAAAGATTTGTTTTGAATGTCATTTGACACACTGTGTTCGAATTATTATATGAAAGTAATATTTGTGTATTAGGAAATTCAAGGAGCTTGTATCACATCCTCATTGCAATACATATTAAGTTGTGGTTTGCCTTTAGGATTTAACAATACTCCTCAAATATTTTTCCTTCTTTTTTAGTGATTCACAATAGTGTGACATCAGCAAGAAAATTTGTGTTTATTTATAACGTTGTAACTGAAATGATCTTCTTTTCACATCAAACATGATTGTTAGTGAGTAATAACAGCAAATCGGTTCAGAAACAAAGTTCCATTAAGGCTTACAAAAGAGCCATAAGCAACTAGCATCGGTATGATTTACTATATAACGGTAAAATGGAGGATTCGATACTTGATTCACCCAATAATATATCGTAGTATAGTAAAATTTCATTACTTGTTTGTTTTGTTAAAAAAGGGATTGGGATTTTGACTCCCAGCCCCTCCTGTTGTATAGATTTTAAAATACACTTGCTGAAGAAGAAGTTGTCATACCAGATAGTTGTTTATAATGTTCTTAATCAATATCACTCGCAATGGTCAAAGGCAGAAAAGGTGGAAACTGATGCGATGAAGGAGGTAAATGATGCATCTCAAATGCGGCCTAGAGTGGAAATGAATTTAGGCTTCAATTCTAGTTTGAACAAATACAATTCTGGTGATGATGATTTGAGCAATAATAAATGGAATTTAGAACATGCTTGGATCATGAAGGCTCTTGAACCAGCATTACAATTGTGTAGATGGGCTTTAACAACAGGTCTGTTCATTATTCTTTCCAAAATATATTTTGTCATGCACAGTATGGTTATAAAATAATTAGGACAAGACATGGTCAAATTGAGTTTGTTCTCTTGAAAGCTGAGAACAAAGATGTCTAATCTTAAGGACATGATTTATCTATGCTATTGATGAGGATTCAGACAAATATTTTTTTAAGGACTAAATATGATTTCTCTATTTTTGCTAAAATCATAGTATAGTTTGTTGGGTTACAGTAAGCATTGTCTTGTGCAGTTTTCCTTTCTATCTAGCGATCATGGACTTGGGATAACTTTTATTCCTGCAGGAACTGGAATTGGAAGCAGATCCCCACCTGGTAGTCGATCACTTAGTGGGATTGTTGGGCCTTACATAGTGGCCTAGTTGGTAGAGCGCCCAGCTCCCTGAGCCGGTTTGCCTGTGTTCGAGTCCCCCCTCCCCCCTATCAATGGAGTAAGCTTGGACTCCAGGATTGGAGCCTAAGGGTATGTTTGGCAGCACCGTTTTGGAGCTTCGGAATTGGAATTGGAATTGGAATTGGAATTGGATGCTCCGATTCCAAATCCTGTGTTTGGCACGTCAACTGCTGGGAAAACTATTTCAAACCCCCCTCCTTGGCCTTGGTTTGGCTCAGGCGATTGAGAATTTCTGGAAGGTCTCCCTTTAACCCATGGTAAAGCCCTACAGAACAAAGAAAAAAATGCCTTATTTTTAGTTGCTTTGATCAAGAACTGTGCTTTCCACAATTGAATTTCATGATGTTTTTCTTTATTTTTTAGTTTATTTTTAAAATGACTAGTAGATTTGAATCCTAAGGAGTACATAACTGCAAATTAGAAATGGAGTAGACCGTTCACAGCATGAATTGATGTTACAACTAGAAATTGTAGTAATTGATAATGTGGATATCTCTAATGTCTCTTTTTTTTTTCCCCTACACTTTTGTGATTGTCTGTGTTAAAAAGGGGGTGATAATGCCTGCTACTTTTCTATTCTATTGGTGTATCTGATTCACTATTTTTTAGACCTGTTGATTAAGGCTTTATTATCACTTTCCAAATCAATTTATTTAGAGGATCCTTGTCCTTCTATCATTGCCGTTGATGCTTTGTTTTGCACTTATGCTAATTAGAGTACAGAAAGATATAGACTTTCAATTTTCACTACAACTCAAACACACCAATGACAGTTATTCAAGTGGAAATCAGAGTTCTGTCATTTATTTTAAACACACACCTTTTACTGCATGTGCATTTTCAATTTGGGCAGTGTTAACTTCTTTTTGGTTGTGTTTATTGGGCAGTGCTACATGGCAGAAACTTGGTCGAAGAATCTCTGCTTGAAGAGTCATTAAGATTGTTGGGTTATCACCAGTGGGTGAAACTACTTGGACAGCATTAATTTGAATTTTGCCTCAGCATGCATTGCTTGAAGGGTCATTGAGATTGTCTAACACCATAGTTGTTTTTTATTCATTTTCTCTCCTGTAATTATTAGAGAGATTGTTGGGACATATTCAGCTGATGTGAGGAAAATAATCATGAGGATTTTGGATCAGGTTTGTGAAGGATTGGGACTAGAACAGGGCTACTGGACTTCAATTTGTAAAGATGGGCTGCCAATTACAGGAAAATCTTCATCCTTAAGTTCAAATTCTAGCATATTTTTTAAGAAAATATTATTTTTATAATATCAGAGGTGCTGAACATTGAGTTTAAATGGAGGTAGTGAAAGCTACATTGGTGCAGAATGTAGAACAGGAACGTAGAAACAGAAACAGAGCCAGGTCATGATGATGCAGATAACATAACTGAAGCAGCAAGAAGCTTGGAAGTGTAGAACTCACATATCTTGGGGGTATGGATGACTTGGCATGCTGGTCAAACTTGAAACCAACAGATTGTATATTTGGGGAGTGAACCATCAAATTGTATGTTTGCTCGATGTAGCAATTTTAGATTAGCTGCTTTTGTTTATACAATTTTGTCCTTAATTTATTAGTGTAGTTCACTGGTGCCTCTTGCCCTTTGTTCTTCTCTTCTTCTTCTTTTTTTCAAGAACTAGATAGATTTATCTTCAATTAAGGTGGTTAATTGCAAGTAAATAAAGCTGTGGCCTTGCCCATTTTCTAGCCAAAATTGCTATTATTGTTCTCAGCAAAATGCCAGTGAGATTGAGGTTTTGCCTCTGACATTGAGAGAGCAGTGTTTTTTAGTTGTAATTCTGTTTTCTTCAATGGAATAAATCTTTGACTTTTGCCTTGAAAAAAAAAAAAAAAAAAAAATGCTCCAACCTCATTGTACTTATATTTTTTCACAGAGCATTTATTTTTAATAATGCTTCACCTTTACTAAAGTCATTGGTGAAATGGTAAAAATCGACATTTTCTTTTATTTTTTTCTTCTGGTATTACTAATCAGATTTATCAACTTGCGGTTCTTTGAAGCTTAAATTGGAATGCAAGAACCACAAGTCGGATTATTTTTTTGCTTAGTCTTATTTGCCCCTCCTTGGCTCATTGCTTCCTTTTTTTTTTTTTTTTTAAGGTTTCTTATTATTGGATTAGGGGAACTAATTATATATTACAGGGACATAGGTTGCGGATACTAATTATATATTTGTGAAGTTAGTATTATTTAAAATTTTATCATATTTAAATGTTTTTTATTTTTAAAATAATATTCAAATTATATTATCAAATAAACTTAATTTGTTAAGCATTTAAACGGTTGAGAATTAAGTATTGCGCACGAATGTAATGCCCATTCCAACCATTCCTTTGTTTGGTATGTAATATAAAGTGAGAATAGACATTTCATTTGAATACCCAAGTAAATTAAAAAAAAAATCAAATTCTCAAAAAACTCTCATATTCCAAGTCCAAAAACCACCACCACCACCACCATCACCACCACTTCCCACCACTTCCGCCACCTCTAGTGCCTTCCACCACTATTGTCATTGACTCACCTCCACCGCCTTCCACTATCACCATCTACACTACTGCCGCCTTTCACCACCACCACACCACTGCTATTGTCACTATTTTCCACCATCATCACCTACACCATGGACACCTGACCCCACTATCACCAGTACTTCCACCATCGCAACTGCCACCGCCTTCCACCAACACCACTATTGCCTTCTACCACTACCACCTACGCCATTACCGCTTTCTACCTCCACCACTATCATCACACCATCTACCACCATCGTTATATATATTTTTTTAAATTATAAAAAAAAATGTTATTATGTTAATTTAATTTATTTGTTAGTAATAGGGTATTTTGAAGAATTTCATTTGAAATTTATTACATTCTAAATTTTAAATTGGTCCAACTAAAAAGTAGAATGTTTATTATCATTACATTTCTAGGTGTTTTATATTTGCAACTAAACAATAGAATGAAAATGGACATTCCATTCCATTTCACTTTCATTCCATTCTCACTTATATCTCATTTCATTAGTGCACACCAGACACAACATAAGTGATGAATTGAATTAAATTATCAATTTCGATAAAACTATGTTCCAATGTAGCATGTGAATAACCCTCATAGCAACTAACTTCGTTGGACCTTCCCAAAAACAAAAAAAAAAAAAACTTTCATTGGATATTGCAGCCCCGGTCCCCTTTCAACACCCTAAATCAGTTTAAGGAGCTGTGCTGTTGAAGGAGCCACTACCTCCATCTCTCTAGAATACTTTTTACCTCCTGTAACAACAATTTTTATAAACAATTATGGTAATACAATTTGATAAATAAATATTAAAAAGAAAAAAAAATAGTTTTATATACTTAGTATTAGATTAAATAAAATATAAAAACTTTTGAACAATCCTTACCGACTCCAGTAACAAATACTCCTATACAATAATTAGAAAATCAGAATAGCAATAACAAAAAAAATAAATAAAAAAATTTTTTTGGAAAAAAAAGTATTGTCCAAAACTTTATTGACCCACTCCTAAACTGAACATTATCAAATCAATGAATTGGAGTCTGCGTGCTCTCTTCGTTTTGGGCTTTCTTGGGCGCATGCAGGTAATGTCCACAATGTTCCGGTGAACCGCCTCCGGCCACGCTCTGTGTGCCTCCCGTCGCCCCCATTTCTCAACAACACAACTCTCACTTGTCAACGTTCGCCATTAATTAATATCACCACTATTACAGAGCCTCTCTCTCTACAACTCCCCTCTCTCTCCACGATAAAATGGCTATTCGGTCCATCAAGCGGCTCTTCCACAACACAGGTAACCTTACCTTTGAGCTTTCTTCATTTTTAATTCTCTTCTTTATTTTATTGTTTAAAATCTCTATGAATTTGTACTTTCTATTCACAGGGTTTCTATTGTTCTTATTAGTATTAGGGTTTTGAGTTTTTTCATTTTTATTTTAATTTGGTATCTGACTGGCATAAAGTTGAATTGTTTTTATTTCTTTTTCCATATTATAATTTATAGTATTGTTGTAGGTTCTGATGGCACTTGCCTTTGCAGAAGATTTTTAGTGAATAAAAGCAATTGAAAGTTTTGAAACTAAATAAAGATTGCTGTTTGGAAGTTGAGAATGCAGAAATATGCATTCACCTGCTAGCAATGCCACAATTTTGCCCTGGTTTAGGCTAGTCCCATTTATATTTTGGAAACTAAAACAATAGAGAACCTAAGGTTCATGATTTCACATTCTCTTTGTTCTCTCTGATTTTCACCAGCTTGAATTATTATGTGAAACTAATATTTGTATATTAAGATATTTACAGGACTTGCATTATATCAATTTATCTTCGTTACTTTTACATATTAAGTTGTTGGTTGCCTTTTGAATTTAACAACACTCCTCTGATATTCTTCTTTCTTTTTTTAGTGAGTCACTGTTGATTTCAAATCAATAGAGTGATATCAGCAAGAAAATTTGGGTTTAGTTATAACGACTAAATGCAGATTATCTTTTCACATCGAACATGATTGTTAGTGAGTAATAACAACTAATTGGTTCAAAACCAAAGTTCCATTAAGGCGTACAAAAGAGCCATAAGCAATAAAATGCAGGATGCGAAAAATTCCATTCACCCAATAATATATTTTAGAATGGTAAAATTTCATTACTCGTTTGTTCTTATTAAAAAAGGGAGTGTAATTTTGACCACCTCCTATTGTTGTGTAGATTTGAAAACAAACTTGCTGAAGAAGCAGAAGTCATACCGAATATTTGTTTATGATGTTCTTAATCAATATCAGTCGCAATGCTCAAAGGCAGAAAAGGTGGAAACTGATGCGTTGAAGGAGGTAAAGGATGCATCTCAAGTGCCCGTACGGCCTAGAGTGGAAATGAATTTAGGCTCCAATTCTGGTATCAGGAAATACAATTCTGGTGATGATGATTCGAGCGATAATAAATGGAAGGTAGAACTTGCTTGGATCACGAAGGCTCTTGAACCAGCATTACAATTGTGTAGATGGGCTTTACCAACAGGTCTGTTCATTATTCTTTCCATAATACTATATTTTATTATGCACTGTATACTTTGAGAACTTATGGGGATGGTAACTTACAACTTAGTTATAAAATAATTAGGAATAGGCATTGTCAAATCGAGTTTGTTTGCTTGAAAGCTAAGAACAAAGATGTCTAATCTTAAGGATGCAATTAATATGTGATATTGATGATGATTCAAACAAATCATTTTTTTTTTTTTTTTTTTTAATAACTAAATCTGATTTGTCTATTTTTGCTAAAATCATCATATATTTTGTCGGGTTACAAACGCATTGCCTTGTGCAGTTTTCCTTTCTATCTAGCTGTCATGGACTTAGGTTAACTTTTATTCTGACAGGAAATGAAATTGGAAGCAGATCCCCACCTGGCAGTAGATCACTTGGTGAGATTGTTGCAGGCATTCAGCGGAGTAAGCTTGGACTCCAGGATTGGAGCCTAAGTGATCTTACATTAGGCTTATATCTTATATACCTGCAACAGGCATCTGCAAATCCATTCGAGGATGTTAGGGGTGTTCAGATTTCCTCAGAATTAATAGTAATCATCATTGACACTGAATTGAATATATTTCTGTTAATTTCAAAATAGTTTACATGTTTTAATCCAAGTCATAGTTTTTTTTTTTTTTCTTGTTTTTATTTTATTTTATTTTTATTTTTTATGTTATTTAGAGTTCTTACCAGATTAGGCCTTTTCTGATATAGGTCCAAGATCTTATCTACCACACAGAATTAGCAAAAGGGGCTTATAAAGATAGTGTTGTGGGCCTTGCAAGAAACAGCATGCTTCGAGAAAGCAATGTTATAAAGTTTGTTAAGAACTCAAGTGTTATGAGGCCAGGATATTATATAGGGATAGACGTTCGCAAGAAACTTGTAATTCTTGGAATCCGTGGAACTCATACTGTATATGACCTTATTACTGACATTGTTTCTTCAAGCAATGAAGAAGTCACATTTGAGGGGTATTCATCCCACTTTGGCACTGCTGAGGCTGCGCGTTGGTTTCTTTGTCATGAGATGGGAACCATAAAGAAGTGCCTGGAAAAGCATGAGGTGGTGAAAATCTCAGATTTCATATTTTGGATGTCCATTTGTATCGTATTTCTCCCCCCCCCCCCCGCCGCTTCCTTTTTCTGAGGTTTCTTATTGTTGCTGTAGTGAAACTAATTCTTCTACAGGGATATAGGTTGAGGTTAGTGGGTCATTCTCTTGGGGGCGCTATAGCTTCTTTGCTGGCAATAATGCTCCGTAAAAAGTCATCCAGGGAGCTTGGCTTTAGCCCTGATATTGTGTCTGCAGTTGGTTATGCCACACCACCTTGTGTCTCCAGAGAGCTTGCTGAAAGCTGCTCAGATTATGTCTCCACTGTTGTGATGCAGGTAGGTAGATGTTTTTAGTAGTTAAGTTGTATCATCTTTATGGGAAAAAAGGCCATCCTTCTAAAATGTTTAATTACTTAAATGGTATTCTATTTTCTTTTGAATTATTTTTTATGCTTCTCATCCGTAACTTCTCTCTCTATCTCTCTTTACAGGATGATATAATTCCAAGGTTAAGTGTAGCTTCTCTAACAAGGTTGAGGAATGAAATACTGCAGACTGATTGGTAAGTAAACATTAGCCAGCCTATTGTAAATAACACTGGAAGATTTTCCTACCAAAAAGGGAAGGGAGGGTATAAAAGAAATCCGGGAAAATGCCATTTGTTGGAATTACGACATGCTACCTTTGAGGTCTCCTTCTTAAGTGTACTCTTCACCCATATACGGTGCACATAATTCTCAGTTTTGTTAACAACATTCTTAATGGGCATTGCGAGATTAAAATTAGAGAAAGAGGGAACATTTATCGGTAAGTAAGTGAAAGTTCAACAACATTCTTAATGGGCATTGCGAGATGAAAATTAGAGAAAGAGGGAACAATTATCGATAAATAAGTGAAAGTTCCTTTATTCATTTCTTTCGAATCATATACTTCTGATCTTGGTACAAATAGTTTGAACACTTTTATCCTAATCATGCACTTCTTGGTATATTGAAGCCTATTCTTTTGGTGATCATGTAATAGGTTTTATGGAACTTCCTCTTTTACTTGTTACACAGGATGAGTGTCTTGGAGAAGGAAGACTGGGGAAGTGTCATAGGTTTGGTAACAAATGCAAAGCAGGTTGTGTCCTCAGTACAAGATGTGGCTCGGAAGCTTGCTGAATATGCCAAATTTAGGAATGGGACAGAATCTTCTGGTAAGCTTTGCCCTTTCCAAATGTTATTGTGCTGACACCCATTTACTGTATCTTAAATTGGCTATAGTGACCAAGTTGTCTTTCTTTGAAGTGCTCTACACCTAGTAATGTTTCATTTCTTGACCTCCACAGACTTGGATTCTATAAAATCAAGATTACCAGAAATCTGAGGTTGTATTTTCTCTGCACTATTCTCCCGCAACTCTCCTCTCTCTAGTTTTACAGGAGGAGAGATTTACAAAGAATGAATAACCAAGAAACCATGCTTCAAGCATACCGTGGAGCTTTATGACTAAATATTCTTGGGTGGCTGGGCCATCTCCAATATACTGGTTGAAAAATAATTAACCCAATTTTTTTTATTGATTTGTTTGGTCATTTAATTGTTAGGACTTGGGACATTAGTTTTTACATGTGTCTGGGTTCTTATAAACTCTGCTGGCTTTAGAATGATTTGCTAAGATTTGGTAGTAAATCTACGCATCTAATTGCTATGTAAATCTTTTCAGTGTCTTGATAGCTGAGCGGTGCTTTAGATTGTTTGGACTTGGCTTGTTTGTTTGTGGGCTCATCTCGAAATCATTACGACCTCAAAGCTGAGCTCGGGCTCGGCTCGTCACAATTTTGAATAGCCTGGACTTGGCTTGGCTCATTTAATAAAAGAAGCTGAGTCCAATCCCATGTTTGTATTTGGGCTCGGTTTAAGATCGTATTCATAAAGTTACCAATGAACATTTTCAATTAGCTCACTTACCAAGCTTGCTTTTAATCTCATCAGTATAGTTGTAACGGGTGGGTGCTTCGCGATCCGACCCAAAAGCTTAAGTTATTAGGTGGGGCTAACACCGAACCCATTTATACCCATTTCACTTCCCATCCGGATCCGATGTGGGACAAGTCTTTCCTTGTAACAATAGTCCCTTTCCATTAAACTTACACTAAATATACAATATAGTATCATGAATTAAGCCTTGAAAAGTCATATGAGAAACCACGAGCATGCTTATACAATTTTATAGAAACGAGTCTAGATGAGCCTATGTTCATGAACAAAAGCGAGATTGCATGAGCTCATGTTCATGAGCATATACGAGTCGAGCCCAATTCTGTTCAAGATTAGCTCATTTATTAAACGTGATTGGCTGGTTTGTTTAACGAAGGAGCTTGAGTTAACTATAAATGGGCCGAGTCCGAGCTGTTCACGAACAACTCAGTTAATTTGCAGCCCTAGTTATAAACCATGAATTTATGTGATTATGATAAATTTCTGACTTATGCCCAGGATAAATGCTCAAGGTTTAAGTTTCTGTTTTCATGACTGCATGGGGCATGCAGTCTCTTACTGTGTAGTTTTTATGCTAATCCTCATATTTAACTTGGATGATAAGTAGATCCGTCGAAATTCATTCAGTTCAAGTCTGCGCTTATTAGGCAGGCCTCACCTGATTTATTTTCCTATTAATTTTCTGAGATATTCATGCCGTACGTTAAATTGATAGGTGTTTAGTTCTGAAGTCATGATCAAAGGAGTCTAGTAAGTGGATCTTGCACGTGTTTTGGTCAGAATGCACAGAATGAAGACAGGATCTTGAATGTTATGGATTCAATGAAAAGATTTTTGGTAGTTAGATTACATATCAAAGAAAAAAATTGATTTTTGGCAGTTCAATTGTCACGTTAAAGAAGTTGAAGTAATTTAACATTTAATATTACACACATATATGTATTCACACATGTTTTGGTATCTGGACAGAGCTCCTCAACAGAAAGGAATCATCTGTTTTTCTCAGCTCCCCTTCAACCTCCAAGCCAGCAGGAGAGAGTGCTGTTCTTGTGAAAAAGGAAGACACTGCAGAAGAATTGTTTGTACCAGGGAGTCTCTATTATCTGAAGAGGAATAACAGCAGCGATGGCACAGGCAGAGAATATTTCACGCTGTGGAATAGACATCCGGGTGAACATTTTCAGAGGATATTGCTGTCAAGCAACTTAATTTCAGACCACAAATGTGACAGCCATTACTATGCTCTCAGGGATGTGCTCAAGGGTTTGCCTGGGTCCAATCATGAAGGTATTTTCCGATAAACATTTTTCAAAATTTGTGGACAATTTTGTTTATTTGTTTCTATGTACTAATAGTTATGTAATGATAGTCTTCACTTAATCTGGTTATTGAAAAATCATATATAGAGTTTTGGTTATTCAAAGAATCAAAGTTATTGCATTTCCACTTGAAAAACAAAGTGCTTCCAATAGCCAAGTGATATTTTTACCCCTTGTTTTACAAGCTCAGTGGAATTCTAATGTCCGTGACTACATGTTCAAAAGTATCCGTGCTTTCTAGGAACGTGTGCAAATGTATGTGCGCGCGCGCGCGAGCAATTGTCACTTCCTGTATCATCGTTTTGACATTGGACAAACGTCTCTTGTTTAGCCTACATCTTATAAGCTTAACGCAAATAAAGTAAATGACATCATATCGAGTGATTTATATATATATATATATATATATATATATATACACGTGGAATTTGTATTAGTTCTTGGGAATGAAACTCTCTGGTCATGAAACATGACATTCTAGTTTTCAACAGCAAACAAACAGGAATGGAGGTGATGGATTTTTAAAAAGTATTTAAGTATTTAGATAGTTTTGTTAGTATGACAGGTGTTTTTGGATAGTATCAGAGAGTTTTACGATTTGAACCTTAATTTAAATATTGAATTTGAAATAGGAATTAGCTATAGGCGATAATCTTAATCTAGTATGAGTGGCCTTTACACTCATTACCATAAATGCATAATTTATGGTCTTATTGGAAGATCCAGTATAAATCATAATCTCTCTTATAATAATGATCTGTCACAAAGTAAAAGTGTAAGCTTTCAAATATGACCATGAAATGCAATGATCCTTATGAATATATAAATAAGGTATATAGATAGGCTAGTCTAAGCCTAGGCAATAATCTCTGCATGAGTACTCCGGTACACATATATATATTTAGACCTAGGGTTTTATAGCATCCAAGGAAAAGTAGGCCTAATATCACGTTTAACACGCACTTAAACCATATTGATGGGGTGGGTAATATTTTCCTGTTAATAACTTGAACCAACTTTTGCTGCTTTAAAGATGAAAGTTGAGCAACTTTTATTGTTGATAGCAAGAAAGTGCTTCCAAGGTCAAATTAAGGTTTTTGTTACTTTACAAACCCAGTACAATACAATTTTAACGTGTGTTACTGTATGTGTTATCGCATCTTTTTTATATGGATGGATTCGACTTTGGGACGCTGTATCGCGACTCTGCTTTATATGGTAGTGGGATGGGCTGAAAATTGAAAGAAGAAGCTGGAGCTTGGTACAGCAGAAAACTAGATTTACAAATGGAGGCCCAACCCACACAGAAATGGATAGACTTGAAGATCAATCTGTAACGATAAGTGGAATCATCTTTCTTTTCAACAATAGTCAAAATGTAGGAACAAGCTCGTGACACGTCTCCGGTTGAATATACTATATATAAGTATGGAATATAACTACATTATCATCAATATTATGAATGCCTCTACAGGAAACCAAAAAGAAACCAAAAAAAAAAAAAAAAAAATCAATATTACTTATGACTCTATATAAAAAGTCAAAGACAGGCTGGGGTTTTTAACGAATTGACAGTCCATTATGGAATAAAGAAAAAGGATGTACACCCTTTTCGAGTCATCAGAACTTGATGTGCTTCATAAAGTGACAATTTCTTTACAAATGTTGGGCAATTCATGCATTGCATCCACACAAACAACACACACATACCACACACACATGGGGATGGGGGTTGTTTAATACACCAAAACAAATTCTGTTTGAATTCAAAACCTAACTTAATTCTCTGAATTTGCAAGACAATACTTTCACATCACCACATGCAATCCACCTGTGATTTAATTTCTTGTCTTTAACGTTTTTCACAGTCCAACTCCTTTCATCACTAAACTTTCTTCATGATCAAGAAAAACAAAAACCACCTCTCTTTTTACTCATCTCTTGAAAACGACAACTTCATTTTGTCATTGTGTTTATGCTAAGAGACGGTATATACATATATATATATAAAATAAATATTACTCCCTGTATCATGGTTTGGACTTTGAATAAATGCCTCCAATTCAAACTACATCTTATAATAAGCTTAACAAAAATGATATAAATTCTTGAAAATGAAGCTTTCTGATCATGTCTTTCAATGAGCAAGCAATAACATTTTCATCGCCATTTGCATTGTCGGGATCAAAGCTCATTATTGTCCTTTTATATATAAATATATATCTTCGACAAGGACCTAACTGCATGTTTTTAATTTTTCTTTATCATGAAAATGGACATAAATTACATTAACTTAACACGTACTCTATTTGTAGAGCTTTGGATACGGTAATTGTAATATTGTATAGGAGATAAGTCACATAATGACAATATGATTTGTGCATAATGTTTTTTTACTAAAGTCAAAAAAAAAAAAAATAAAAAAAAAAAAAAATAGCCTTTAAAGGTGTAATAATTTTTAAATTCTTGTTTTTGAATTGTACTTTTGACTTTAATGATATTTAATGAAATTGTGATACCCTTTCGTATATTCACTGCAAAATGTAGGCTCAATGTTCTCTCTTCTAGATTGAGAGACTAAAACTTAGAATATAGATATGTATCCTAGATATATATAAGACAATCATACATACACGTGCAATGGACCCATGTGCAACTTTGTGTGTCGGCTTGACCAGTCGTGGGGTGAACGCATGTCATCTTCATTAATTCTCTGTAACTATATTTTATCCAAATGCCCTTGCGGTCCCTCCCACACAAGCCCTACTAGCCGATGCCAATATCCTATTGTAGTTTAAGGAAACATGTTTTTTTTTTTTTTTTTTTTTTAAAAGCCCATTAAATAGAAGATTACATTGTTTGTTTGTTATTTTCTATAGTAATTTATTTTGTTACATAAAGGGGAAGAGTGAGAAGAGAAATGAGATAGATGTAAAAAATTTCTTTTTTAAGTAAAATATTTATTAAGAAGAATTATTTACACGTCTGGTTTAATGTACTTTAAAATTCTTAATCTCGACCTAGGTCTTTATGAAACATTGAGAAATATATATAACGCATAAAATTTGACATCATTTCATTCAAAGGGATGCTCTTATATTCACAATTGTTTTTTAATTTGTGTTTTTCTCATTGTAATAATGATAAGCCCTCTTGAGTATGTAAGAATATAATAGTAAAATTTAATTTTCTTTTTCATAATTTGTTCTTCTTTACTTGATGCTTGACAAAAGGGGCAAGAAAAAAGATAAACTTTTCATTTATTTTGTTAATAATATTTTTTTTCTTTCATTTCTGATAAAATAAATATTACATTCCTGTCTCTAAATAGAAAAATAGGTTGAGGAATAGCAATATATATATATATATATATATGTAAACAAAATAGAAGTATAATTTTTTTTTTTTTATTCACAAGAAATTCGCACACTTATTTATTTTTATGAGAACTCAAATTCTCACCTTTTATATTGAGAGAGACAGAGGAGATATTATTAGTATAATCTTTAATAAATAAAAATATTTATTAATTAACCTCTTTTTTCAAAAAAATTAATCTATACTTAATATATATATAGAATATAATTACATAAAATATCATAGTGTAGGTAAGAAATTTAACCTTAATTAGATATATATTGAGGCAATGATTTAACAATGAGAAGGTACATACGGGAGCCCACTCTAATAGATTAGAGTGGAAGTAGTGAAAGATAGTCGACAATAGCATTTGTTGAGCACCACATTTTGAGGATAATTGTTGTAGTCTAAGCCTAACCTTGTGACTATAATTTACATAATATAGTACAATAATTATGTAAGTATTTTAATTATGGTGTGTGAGTTTGTGGGACTATAGTCAATCCGATGGGGTCCAAACAATACCAGAAACTTCAGAATTTCCAAGTAGAGACCCTTAATTTATCGTTTTGTAAGGTTTTGTGTACTAGCGAACGTTTCCTAGCTGATGGTGACGTGGACATCGGGTTAGGTGGGACCCGCTCGTGTAACAGTAGTTCCCCACTCGTGCGGCGTGTCAATGTCAGAATTGTTGAAGAGCACACGTGCACAGCGATCCCGAAGAACAGTAACGACGCGTGTTCCGAGACCCCAAAATCGAGACGTACTTCACGCCTATGTTGACTGCCCACTCTACAATGCTTACATAGGTCACAGCGTGGCCTAATTAATGATTTGTTATACCGTCGAATTTACTTATTAGAATAAGAGCTTCGTTTGCAGTTGATTCGGTTAAATATTAATATAAATTAATAAAATTTGTTAATTTATGAAAATATATAACAATATCGAATGTTTAAAAGAATCCAATAATGTAACAAACCATGGATAAAAGCTGTGACCTCTTCATTTTTAACTAACTTTGTTATTTGTTAATAAAAAATTGTCCTAACATTTATAAATATGCTGTGACGCTGTCAATTTTTGATTGTAACAAATATAAATTTTTATATTTAATTATTAAATTAAATTAAATTAATTTTTTAAAATTTGTAAATAGTAATGTGAAGACTTTGTGACTTTTTTTTGACAAATAAACTTTCTTAATAAAATTATTCCATCAAATATAAGTAAGTCCAAACAAGTTTGTTGAATTTATATTAAAAAGAGTGGGTTAACATGTTTGTTTAAAATTTTGACAGTTAATTTTATGGCATCATTATTAACAATCATCTACTCTTAACGTTTAAGTTAGTGTGGTTTTCTTTTGATCCAACATGTACTTTTTAATTTTTTAATTAGGGTGATGGTGAGGTTTGAATTCGAGGCCCTTGACTCTAATACCATGTTAATAACCATTTACTTTAAAAGTTTAAGGACTCATTTGGCATGTACTTTGTTTTAGGCGTTTTGTTTTTGGCTAAAATAGAAACAGTATTTTTGCTGTAGGAATATTTTTGCAAAAAATCGGAAGTACGTTTGGGAACGATATTTTGTTGTGGAAATGTTGGGCCCGTGTTGCGCTACTGTTATGGTTTTTGTCCATGAACAATTGTCAAACACAAGAAAAGTAACTTTTTGGTATTTTAGTTTTAGGCTACTATTGACAAAGTGTTTTAGAACTGTGTAAAATAAAATAAGATTGCACCAAACATATTTTTGTTGTCAAAATCGACACTGTACCGGCCAAAAACAAAAACAACATAAACAAAGGGCATACCAATGAGACTTGACCTATTAGAGAGGGTGTAACTAAAATTCTACTTATGTTTTGTGCTTTTTTGGACCAATCACAAACAAATTAAGTTAGCTCCTCCTAATTTTTTATTTTAATTGTGCAAGTACTAGTCAATATTCAAACATACCTAGATAAGATAAAAACTGGAAGTAACCAACAGCACAGTTAATTAATCAGTGCCCTAAAAAGTTCTTATCCCTAAACCCAAACAAGAAAAAGAATTAAGTAAGACTTGAGGTGTGAAATCTATAAAGCTGCATGATTTAAGAATAGGTTAATAAAGCTAGGGATCCAAGAATGCTGTGTTAATGAAGAAGTGTTAATTTAGTGAGATAGATATAGAATACTAATTAATAAAAACTCATTTAATTTATAATTAAATTAGAAGTAGCTTTGGAATTAATGCAAGCTTTTTTGGTTTGCTCTTTTTAAAATTAGTTGAACCTTTCCTACATTATTGTCTAAAGTATACTACTTTTAACAGCCCCATTAGTTAACATGTCATCTTGTCTCTAAGATCACTCTTTCATTATAATGCATGTTTAAGTGGCCAACAAGTACACATGATGATCAAGCTAGCTAGCCATTTCCGCTGGTGATGGTGAGATAATGGCTGCCAGGGAGGCCATCCCTATGCCATATATGCATGAACCCCCCTGTTCATACGTCCAACTGTCTTTTCAATAGTCCAATACCGATGCATAGGTTAGCATCATCATCACTTTATTCCAAGACTGTGTTTGATTGTAACGTTCGTATCATTTTGGGAGAGAGAAGTTATTGGCACTTATATGTGTAGATGTTTCTTAAGTGTATAGATATGTTCTGAAAATCAATAACACAAGTATGCGTTTTATTTATTCTTTGCCTATTATAATTAGAGTTAAGGAGTTGAACCAAACACCGCCTAAACAATATCAGAAAGAATGGTGAAGTTGGGGGTCTCATTATTAAGGGGTTAAATGTAGGGCCTAAATGCACATTTGGGCAAGGTCTACATGTTGGTGCCTATATGTGACACAAGAAAGTGATTGAAAGTGATTAATGATTATTTATAAGATTAATTAATAGTATTAATACAGTATTGCTAGACAAGCTGTGACCGGCAAACTTAAACAAATGAAAAGACTAGAAAGGATAAATCAATCTGTGTGTGTATGTGTGTGAGTTGCTTCCTTTAGTCAGGTGTTCCATTAATCCAGTGTCATTATATTCTGTTTCATTCATTTTTTGGAATATGCTCATCTTTTCTGTGTCTTCTTTACACTTTTTGATTATCTGCAAATTGCACTCTATATTTAAATGAGTGTCACAGATCCCATAACCACAATCCAACACTCAATTTTATTAACACCAAACATATAATACTATACTATATATCTGTGCTTTCGTACAAAGACACACACTGTCTACAATAATGGGCATGGCCGATCCCAAGAATTGGATACAATATTGGAGACCTTTTTATTAATTACCAATTTTTTTTTTTCCTCACTTTTTTTTTGGGGGGAGACAATTCAAAATCTTACCTAACTCAAGAAGTTGTCTGTGTTAATTAACTGGGTAACATTTGTATCAGCATAATTACTGAATGATTTTGAGAAAAAGGCTTTGTTCAGTATGATTAATGAATGAATTATAGTTCAATTGTTAACTCATTCATTAATCATACTCAACAATCGAACTATAAATTACCTACTTTCCGAAAAAAAAAAAAAATCAAACTATAAATGGGTAATATACAATATCAATGCCATGGTACAACCGTACAAACTTTATTTAGTTGACGGAAGAATTGCAATGAATTGATATCAATATCTGTTGTGAAGTAGCTAATTGATTAAAAATAATAATATTAGTCTACTGTGAATATATATTAGGAGTACTACAAACCGATTTACGAAAAACAGAAAATGAAATAATTAATATGATTTATAGTCTAATCAATTTGACAGTTTGTGATCAAGGCCATTAATATAGTTGATGAATTTTTCTCTAGAGTTGGTTATAGATTGGTATTCTTCATTATATATAGTAATATTTGTAAGAGTGGAATTATTGTGTTATGCTCCAATTTCTGATGGATATTGCTCTAAAAAAAATCTATGTATAGTTACAACTATTTAATTAATTGTGTTTAATAATGCAATATGAAGGTTTGGCGGTGTTGTTTCTAGGTTTGAATCCCTGTTCCCTATCCCCACTAACTACTTAGTAACTCTTCTTGCCATGTTAAAAATAATAATAAATAAATAAATAAATAAAATAATATCACTTAAAATTGGATAAAAAAAAAGGTATAAAACATATTCTAAATTACTGTAACCACTTAAAAAATTCAGTACATAAAAATTAATAATTTATTTTTATTTTTATTTTTATTTTCTTAGTTGGTACACACACATGTTTCCACTGAGACTCTACCTTTCTTTAAAAAGTAAGGACCATTAATCAAATAGTATATGAATTATTCAGTGTTCCATAAACCACAATTATAAATGGAATATAATAAGAGTTTGTAATCCCATTATCTATACATTTAGCCGAAATTTTGGAAATTTGAATAGCGTATGCCAATTGTTCTTCTGTTGCATGCGCGCAGTAAAGATCAGCTTCAATGGATTGACCAATTGTGTATGTCATGGCAAAAATGTGTTCATAAAACCATGCATATATATTATGGACTTGATGCCTAAAAGTTACGGCTAGATTAGTGACGGAGTGAGAAATTTTTTTTAGGGGGTCACATTATAAGCATGGTATACTGTAACATATATTTACAATATAATGTATATGTATATATATATATATATATATTTAAAGAGATTGTGATATTTTTGGAATTAAATTAATTTACAGATATATAATATAAGTATTAAGGAAATAATTTAGGAGAAAAAAATATGAAACATATATAAAATTTTATGAAGAATGAGAAAATTTAGAAAGACACTTTCTATATTTTCATTAAAAAAATATATATATTATTATAAAATATATATAGAATATAAGAGAAGGAGAAAATTCAAGAGGAGCACGTCCCTGGTCCTTAACTGCCTCAGTCCTTGGGCTAGCTTGAAGTTTTTCTCAAGTGCTAAAGTGTCCCCGAGACACGATGATGATATTAAGAAGAATTATTAGGTGGTTCAGGATTACGTGGTCCAATCGTAAGAATCTCTTCCTAAGTACTAGTTAATATATAAGAAAACGTACATACTTTTTGATTAGATATTTTTTTTGTTGAAAGGACATAACATGTATCCCACATACAACTTAACCAATTTCGTAAGAGCTTATCTTAAATTCTAGTAGTATAAAAATTAAGAACAGCTAGATGTAGTTGCAGTTATCACATATAAAATTCAAGACAATGAAAAAATGAGCTAAGAAAGATCCAATCATGAAGCAAATAGAAATGGGTTTGGTTTATGGTAGCTCTTTGTCCTTTAAGGATGTTGAATGGAATCTCAAGTGATCATGAGAATAAAATTTTATGATTGGAGGGGGTGAAAGGGGTTTTTGTATATATATATAATGAAAAAAGTAATGAAATCTGTAGCCCATTAAAGGAACCAATTGCAATTAACTAATCAATATTATATAATCCACCTTCCTCTTTCTCTAATACTGTTTATAAATATGGTGGTAATGCTTGTACTATACTAGAGCAAATTGTTGAGATCAAAGATGACTGGCTCTGGTTCTCCTTGTGGTGCCTGCAAATTCTTGAGAAGAAAATGTGTGAGGGGTTGTGTTTTTGCACCTTATTTTTGCCATGAACAAGGTGCTACCCATTTTGCTGCCATCCACAAAGTTTTTGGTGCCAGCAATGTCTCAAAGCTCCTTGCTCATCTCCCTGTAAGTGATCGATGTGAAGCTGCCGTTACAATCTCATATGAAGCTCAAGCTAGGCTCCAAGATCCAATTTATGGTTGCGTTTCGCATATTTTTGCTCTTCAACAGCAGGTTTAGTGCTCATTAGCTCTTCTTCGATCACTTGTAATTTTTTTTTTTGAAACCCTAATTTTTATACCCATCTAGAAAGGAAACCCTAATTTTTGTTTGTCTAGAGATTCATGGATACCCTTGTGTTTTAATTATGCAGGTTGTCAATCTACAAGCACAACTAGCTACTCTCAAGCAAGTAGCAGCAGCTCAAAGCTTTTCCAGTGGCTCCTCCAGTGCAAACCCTAATGATAGATTTGAAGGAAAGTTTTCTTCATTCCCACAAGGTCATCATGTCCAAAGCTGGTTTCAGTCCAAAAATTCAGACATGGCACAACAATTGAACCAGAACCTAGCCAGTAATGATGTTGAAACCATGTCTTATTACCAGAATGGGCTCATAGATCCAAACTCCTTAGTAAATTATGCAAATTCAGTCAATATCCCAGAAGAAAATGTTTCCTACACTAGCTTCGAAGAAGCTTCTCTTTCCATGGATTCTCTTGACTTGCAAACAAACAGCAGGCAGTGGACTACTTTTCAAGATGATACTGATGATCTTCAGTCAGTTGCCTTTGGCTATAGTAGGCATTCATGAAGAAAGGACCGGACTGGAGAGGATCGAAGATATCTCCTATGGGTGAAGATTACTCTAGCTGTTACTTTTGTATTGCTACTGCACACTTGTAAGACTAGTACTGCTGCTATAAATAAACTAGGAACCCTAGAAATGTCCATACAATCCAAAACCCTAGATTAATCAACCTTATGATTGTTTCTCAGATATTGTGTAACCTTGGATAAGGGTAGAATAATAGCATATTTTTCCGACCAATTCTAGTTTCTTTGAGCTAATTAGCTTTGTTTATGGACCTACTTAGGACCTAATCTTAGACCTAATCAAGAAAATGGAAACCTATAAACTTCTAAAGAAAAAAAAGAAAGAAGAAGAGGATATTGAAACCTGACGGCTAATTTTATTATACTTTTCCTTTCTAAACCTAAGAAGCTGCATAAGCAAAATATCTCCCAGAGTCATAGTTCATTTGTAGGTTTTGATTTAGGAGGTCGACATAAGTGACAATTAACTGAGTAGCCTCATGAATCTTATCAAGTAAATAATCAAGATTGGCAAGTAATTTATTGTTTAATTTCAAGTATATAGCCAATGGGCCGGAGAGTGAAAAATGAAGATTGATATTTCTTTGCTTAACATTTATTTACTGGTGCAATATCCTTCTCAGACTTACACTGATCAAGTGGAGTAAGTTGCATGATTATCCTCACAAAGAAGCTCATAATTTCTTACCTATATAGCTTTGTTTATGATCGATCTGGGATGATTGCTATGTTTATTGTTCTCCATTTCCCTTTTCCATTCATGAATTAATATATTTTGGTTCATAATTATATACAGCATTAAAGCTAAATGATACAATTAAGCTCAACAACGAAAATCTAATTTCATAAATATCGAACATCTGCAATGGTGTGTTGTAAGTAATTGCAGCATAAACTTAATTGAGAAGGTCGTATCTATATATTTCCTAGGAAATTAATTAAATACTTTAATTATGGTCTATTTGTTTGGTCCTGGAAATTAGTAAACTTCACTCAGCTCACTATAAGCTACTTTTTATTTTATTTTACCCATTAATCCCTGTTGGTTGATCCTCTGAAGAAAATTCAGAAGTAGTTGTGAACATACACTCTTTGCCTGAAATGAAAATTGAAAAGGTATTGTGTACTTTCTCATGTTGATGGGATCTCAAACCGGCCTTAATTTCGTCAGATATCATATCCTTTGCTTCCTAAATTTTGTAAAGGATAAACAAGCTAGCTAGTTCGATCTCCTAATGCGTGCCTACGTACATATAAATCAACAATAGGCCATGAATTAAGATCAGTGTACGTTTTCGATCTCTGTAAGGGCTTGCAAAGCCATGCCTAAAGTTTTTTTTTTTGGGTAATTAAGCCATGCATAAATTAAGTTTCCAACTGCAAATTAAGATGACTTGGTTGGTTGAGTCATTTAGGCTTCTCTCAGGTTCAGCAATAAGTAGTAAAATTAAGTGGCATAAGGACTAGAATGCTAAAAAGATTTTAAGATATATATACGCCATTCATTCATTTAATCAGATTCTTGAGAGTACATATATATGATCTATTGCAGATTGCAAGAATTATTAATATTGAAGCTACTACAATATTATTGTTTTGAATGAAATTCAGAGATGTGTCTGATAGTACAAGGAGAGTGTATATTTTATGTCTTATCTTCAAGCATTTGGAAAACATACATAAATAGATGACAAGACAAGCATCCAGGTTTTATGGTGAACATAAAAATAATTAGCGAATCCTCGTGTTTTGGTTCTATGATTCTTAATCTTGGATACCAAATTTAGTTACACTAAATTTATTCACCATGCTACTTAATTTGGTCTGGAGCGTGAATGATTTTTCAATTAGACCAGATTATATATGTACGCATCGAATATATATATATATATATATATATATATATATACCTTGTTCTAGATGTTAGCTTGCCACAAAAATATTCGATCTTATATATGATCCATCACAATCTTCTTCCCATGTTTATTCTGTAGAAGAGTTTACTCCAAAACAGTGTTCATCAGTTTAAAACTTTAAATTATTGACAGTTTTTTTAAAAAAGAAATCAAAGTTTAACACAGTATTGCAACTTGTCGGTAGCTCTTGTATGAACCGTTAAGTTATTTGGGATGCTAAAAAGCGTGGTTGATATGAAACTATTATTATTATTATTATTATTTTCCCTTTGTTTTTTAGCTCACTTTTAAGGAATTGGTGAATTGCTGAATTAGTAGTATTTTGGAAGTACAATTTTTTTTTTTTTTTTTTTTTTTTTTCCTAAGTACAATTCTTGTTTGAAAAATGCTACAAGTAGTTGCTTGCTTCCAAAAAGCTAGACATACCACTATAACATTTACCACAATTTAAAACTTACCATATGCTTTGAAAGTCTTTTTTGTTTTTCCTTTCCCTCACATAATTGGATATTCGAGATTTTGCCCCTACTAAATCTGAGATACTGTGCATAACGCCCCCTCCACATGACTCATGTTAGATAAAGTTCGGGTATAGCTCCAAAAATTATTTATGCTCAACGAGAGTCAAACATTAAACTTGAGGCTTGATGTGGCACGAAGCCAGCCCCAAACTGACTTAACTCTTCATTTCTACAAACTCCACCCTCGACTCACGGTGACCCAATGAGCTATCATTAGGCCCAATCCACAATCATAGTTGTGCCAAAATATTCTTCATTGATTCAAAGATCGGCCCAATGTAGTTAGACTACAATAAAAATTGGCAAGTGGAACCCAAGTTGGAAAATAAGTCCCATCTTTAACGTTCTCTACCTCTGGTATTGACTCTTTTCATTTTGAAATGAATTATGATTCTTTGATGGGAGTTCTTCATCCAGGTGGAGCCGAAGCGCTCCCCAACCATTACTTCGTGAAAAAAAGAATATACATACTACTCTGTATATATATATATATATTAAAACAAATTCATGTATACATTTAGAGGACACTAGTCGTACATATTTGATTCGTTAATTTTATTTTTTTTTTCAAAATTATTTGTTGATTTTAAATGGGTTTAGATGCTAATTGATGAGATATTTCTAAATTTTTAATTAACTTGGATTTTAACATGCATGACAAAAATGGGAAATCTTTTCAATTTAACAGGTGAATTGTCAAAAAAAAAAAAAAAAAAAAAAAATCAATTTACGTTAATTCTTGATAAACGTAAAGATTATTATTTTTAAACCCTGTGTAAAATATAATTTATAAAAAAAAAAACTCTCCTACTTTAAGAGAAAAAAATTTCACTAGACGTGTGTATAATCTTCTAAAGTAGAGGAAGAAAATACACAAGTTTTTGAGTTACTGTATATAATATACACACACACATATTATAGTCCATTTATATGAGAGTACACACGTCTCCACATGTGTCTTGCGTTTTTTTTAAAGCTGGCGCCTTCTTCATTTTGGGCCCACAATGAATAACATAAAGAAATAGGGGCCGTCACTTGTAAAGACAAAACCCACCCACTTTGATCCCATCTCACATACGGACGGATATGATTACCCGCACGTGCACCTCAACCCATCGGATTTTGTTAGTATCCCTCCAAAGAAAGAGACAGCAGCTTACTAATGTTCACTCCAAAGTCCAAGCACATTTGATTCCTCCAATGTAAATTGAGCATTTGGCATAGCAGACATAATAATTACAATCGTGTGTATAATTTAGTAAATGTTGGGACCAAAATTTAGATAATATATTTTTTTTTTTTTTTTTTTTTTTTTTTTTTTTTTTAATATTCACTACTAAATTTTAGTTTTAGATGAATTAGCTCATTGAGTGCTAAATAGTTGATAACTAGTCATCAAAATAAAAACATCTCATTGTTTAATCACAATTGGATAAAATAAGATGGTTCTATATATTCCTCCAGGATTCATGTTTTAACTTTACACCTAACCTCTACATTCTATACAATACAACAGGTGAAGAACACTCTGTACCCATGTTTTTTTTTTATTTTTTTATTTTTTTATTTTACAAATGAGAGGTGACATTAGTTGTTCTAGAATATATATATATATATATATAGAGAGAGAGAGAGAGAGAGAGATGCCTGTGTTTGTCGTGATTTAAACACAAATAACATGCCTTGCTCACCTCGAAGGACAAGACTAACACAAGACACACAGACATAACTTTCTCTTTTGAACTCTTTTTTCTCACGCTAATCTTTCTTTGTCTATAAAGTTCACCTCTTTATTTGTCTTCTTTCTTTGGTCACTAATGACTGTTTAGCTTTTTGAGAAAACTTTTCCACCCTTCATTTAACAACTAAAGCTCATTCATGCATCACCCATTTAACTTAATAAATGGTTCTAAGAATAATTACTACTTTCTAAAGTGCAATTAATGGAGTCTCATGGAAGTATTCCACACATTAATGGATTCTTTTGAACAAATTAATTTTCATTTTCTCCCACTCTTTTTCGCTTTTTGAGATTGTTAATTTAATGTCGAAATGAAATTTGAATTTTTTTTACATGTTGCTTGATTAGATTGGTGTTTAATTTCTTCTATAACACCATCATGGGCTTAAAGAACTTAAATTTAATTAATCCATTAATAATTAGTAGTCTCTTGCATCTACCTTGGTGTTTTTTGTCTGGATTTGTGGTTGTCCATGACCACAATGGTGGTTTACACCACATCGTGTCATTCATTGACATGGTTGTACAATTATTTTACCCAATTAAGGTTTCTAATTAAGAAGTATCATTGCTTAATATATTTTAGCTCTCTTCTATCTTAACTCACATTATATTGAATCAGAATAATATTGGGTGTGTCACGCATCTTGTGACTCTTAAATTTGTCCTATTCTTAAATTCAAATTCACATTCTCCACCCATTTCTTTGAAAAATAGAACACAAAAACAAAGAAAAAAAAAAAAGAAAAAGAAAGAGGCTACTTAGTAAATTGCTTATGATGGACAAATTAACTATAGTATTAGGTTAATTAGATTGATTAAAAGTAAGTTTCCATAGCTACGAACTGATGGCGTAACCGCGTGCAGTCAATTAAGGGAACATTTTGTCTATGACTTTGAGTACAATAGACATTGGTATTAAAACTATAAAGTGTACTTATGTTAGGCAAACTACTTTATTACTACATAAACCATACACAAGTGGACCCCTTAAATATTCACCCTCTAAGGTGTGTTATGCATAATGATAGCATTAGTTTTACAGGTGTGATTTGTCGAAATGGAAAATATAATGCGTATAAATAGGTTGAGTGTTGACTTCACTTAATAGCTTAAGTTTATGAATTGAATCGCGCAATACTTGATCCATTGCAGTTGGTATTAGAATCAGACTCAATTCTTAATCCGGTATCACGCTAAATACCCGGCCCAAAAGAGTCCAGATGTACCTCGCCTTTGGTAAAAGAAACGAGGAGGGCAAGCTACAATTTATATAAAATGAGGTTTATTTTTGTTTTTTTTATTTTTTTTAAAATGAGGTAAATTTCATTGCTTGAGGGAAGAAAAAAAGTTGAAGGTGAAGTTGCTGATACAATTACAATTACAATAAAAATAAAAAAAATAAAAAAAAATCACTCTAAATATGTTATTCCAAGCACAACTCTTATCCCATCAAAAATTGATCGTACACAAATTTGGTTCTTCAACTAAAGCAATACTGATATACAGAAGAGTCGTGACAAGCAAAACGAAGCTTATAATTGAATGGATGGTCATTCAGCTCCCATTTGGTGGTAAATTTCAGCAACTTTGTCATTTTTCTTATCAAAATTACTCCATATAAACGAAGCTTACAATCGAATGAATGAAGAGTCATTCAGCTCCCATTTGGTGGTAAGTTTCAACAGCTAAGTCATTTTTCTAATCAAAATTACTCCATACAACAGTGTTATTAATAGTTGAGAATCAACAATCTTGACAATAAACTTTCCGAAAAAAAAAAACAATCTTGACAATAAACAAAAAGATAAAGAGTAGTGGTATTTATACCGAACACTTGTAGTGAATTGTCTAACCAAATAATTTTTAATCGACTATTTATACCAAATACAACTAAGTGGAGGTTCCACTTCTTTATTTGTTGCATAATTGACTAATTAAAAAAATGTCTAGCAATTCACTGTAATTATTGAGTGCAAAATCATTTTCCAAAGATAAATTTAAAATTAGAATCCCATTATAACGGTACAAATAATGATAGGAGATTAAATATGATTATATTTTCATTTTACCAAACTTCAATTATTTATTTAGTGTATGGTTATCCTTTTACATATTTTATTGTCACTTGTTATGTAAAAAATAGAAATCAATTCACGTTGATCCAAACTCCCAGGTTTTCCTTTGAAATATCAAACTCAGTGCTTCGAATTATTGTTGTTCATTGAATAGTATACTAAACTATTCTTTCACAAAGTTACAATCAATCCTGTTAACATGAGAGAGAGTGAGCTGAACTTGATATTATGTGAAAAACAGAAAACAATTCAAGATGATCCAAACTCCAATGTTTTCCTTTTGAAATGTCAAACACAGAGTGTGCTTCTAATTATTGTCGCTCATTAAGTACTAAAGTAACTAAACTACTCCTCACACAGAGAGAGAGAGAGTTTCCAAATTTCAACATCCTAGTTGTTGGTTGGCATTCTGCAATTGATTTTTTGATACTTCAAATGAAATGCCTAATTCAGGCTTGTAACATTATAATCCCAAGTTTCTCCAGAGCTTCTATATACACATCATCAAGGTATAGAACACCATGGTCAATTCTTCATCATCCTTAGGGCCAGTTCTTGAAGCTCACCCAACTCACACTGTGAAGGTCTCTTCTTGGTGTAAAGTTCCTCCCTGCTTTCTATTTCTTGCATTCCCATTCCATCAATGCAAACATCAACCGACTCGAGCGAGCTCTGAGGTGATACAGAGTTCATGTAACTTGGATAACCCAGAAACGATTGCATTCCGGCCATATTCCCAGCCCACTGATTTCCTACATTCTGTGAATCAACGGGGCTTTGTGCCAGCTGAGCCTTCAACTGCATCAGTTGCGCTTGCAAGCATGTCACCTATATAAAAATGTCCATCAGTTCACTTATATGAACAGTCATGAACTTGATTGCATGTGATATGTAAAAAGTACAAAATCTATAACATGATTTTACAACAAATGATGATGTTATTTATGTGAGATTCATATAATTTATAAAGGAAGGTCTATAACATGATTACTAGAAATGCAAATTAAAGATCTAAAGTGAAATGACTATTATAATCAATACTACTTAATTTTGAAGATAATTGATCTAACATTAGCTATGGAAAGTGATTTAATGACCTGTTGTTGCAAGGCAAATATATGGGCGACGCAACCATAAACTGGATCTCTAATCCTGGCTTGAGCTTCATAAGCAAGTGTCACAACTGCTTCACAACGATCAGGCATGGGGACATGAAGTAACAATTTCGATACATTACTAGCGCCAAATACCTTGTGAATCGCTGCAAATCTTGCCGGACCATGTTCTGAGCAAAAATATGGCGCAAAAATGCAATCCACGGCACACTTTCGCCGGAGAAATTTGCATGCACCACAAGGGGAGCCAGTGCTAGTTGCCATTAGATATGTATGTGTGTGTGTATAGCGTGCGTGCGTTTGTGTGTGTGTATATATAGAGAGGAGAGAGAGAGTTAAAAATAATAGTGAACACACGGGCACACTGGGAAATGGTGCTAATAAGGGAGTTGCTTGAGGTATGGATGGCTGGGGAGGGGGAGGAGTGGGGCTTGTGGGGGATCTTATAAGGGGTGTGAAAGGGGGACATGGAAGGTCCATGTGTATGGTTTAAAGGGAACATTTGTTAATGGTTGATGCAATGAGGGTATGGTTTTTTATTGATGGCTTAGACTAGTTTACACATTTATTAATGTTTTACGTTTGGGTAGTTCAGTCTGATTTTGATTCTTCATATAAGGAATGCGTGTGAACATATATAATATGTATAAATATAGATGTTAGATGTTTCAATATAAATATTTTTCCGCCGAACGCCGCACCTGGGAACTGCTGCTATTTGTTGCTTTCTGAAATTGTTTTCACTCGCACGTGTCAGTAAGATATACCGACAACCACTCTGGACTTTGGAGCAAGACTTTTGGTTCAGTATCGGTGACCTGGGACGCATCAGAGTAGATATGTATTAATAGAAAATTAAGAAAAGTGGCTTTCAAAGTGATAATACCCCCAATTGAAAGAAATGTGAGCAATGCCCCACTTTAATGCATCTCATGGATCAAAATGTTTAGGGGACTTCCAACTCGGGTGGTTTTGTCAGTCACAACAGCAGCACTCATAAACTAATTGAACACCAGAGGATGAATTAGCACCAAAAGACCAAGAAAACACTGAGACTTAAGCATGTCAATACCCTTAATTGAGTGTACTACAGGTCATTACACACACACACACACACACACACATGTATATACATATCTATTTATCAAAATCCTTGCCCGAAAAAAGGAAGAATGTAATAAAGTCACTTAAATGAGTTTTTGGCTTTGAAGCTTGGTGAAGAAAAATGAAGATGCTTTGATTTTGGTTGGAAGCTTCAGAATTGAGTCACAAAATGGTCATGAAATCAGGATTACCTTCCTATGACATTGCATGCCAAGTAATGCCAATGAAATCACAAAATGGTCATGAACTTGTGGCATTCTCATGTACAATGCTTCATTTATCAATTTAAGACACAGAACAATTAGCTGAAAGTAGATATAAAGCACTTGAAAACAAGTTCATGGTTTTATACTGAGCAAAACCAACTAAAGCAGTCGTTTTTTTGCCCCCATGGTTGTCTGTCAATCAAATATTTATGCAAAATTATTTTTTTATTTATTTTCTGATTCATTGGACAATTCCACAAATAAATTTCATTTCATCTACAAGGGACATCCGTTTTGCACTACCCTCTTCAAACTTGAAATATCTATGCATAGTCTAAAATTACCTCGTCAAAAACTATCTCAAACAATAATAAGCTTAGCTCGTGTTGGCTAATAAACACGTCCAACAGTCTGTGTGTGTGTGTTATTTTTAGAAGTTCCACTCATCAATTTTCCATAACGAGTCTATATCAGGCCCCAAGCATTGTTAAACACAGCTCAAACTTAATTCATTTATGGTCTTAGGGTTCAAATCCTATCTTTTTACGCACTAGTTCAAGTTTAATGTATTCGATCTTATGTGCACTCTCTCTCTTTGTTTTTTTAATCAACTAGACCATGTCTAATACTCAATTGAACTCTATCAGATCTGATCTGCCAACGTTGATTGACTGGTACTAGATTCAGATCCAACTTGCGGATTCATTTGTTTCTAACTTTCTAAAGTTTTGGTAAAAAGGAAAAAGAGAGAAGCAACACGCCGAGCATATTTTATTTTTAAGTAAAATTTTCACTCAACAAACACAAACAGAGAGAACAATGGTGCAACACTGGCAACAGAGGCAGCAAACAGCATGAGAAGCTAGAAGTTATGCACAGCAGAACAAGTGGTTTCGTCAGCTTAACAAGGGAAAATGGCAGTTTGTACCAAAAAGGCCATTTCCTTGTTATTGTTCTTACCTCCATGGTGCCACCACATATAATATCTTCCTACTTCTGGATGCTTCCCGCACCACCATATGCACAAAAAGCTGTGACCCATTATGCGTTACCTTACAATCTTCCCAATCTCCTCAGCCGAATATGACATAGTCAAAATTTAGTTGTATTCACTAGATAACATCACCAATGCACATGGCACACATGCAAGCTGCCTACAGGATTTCTAAAAATCAAAAGCTTAAACTGCACACTTTCAACTTATGTCAGCAGAGATTCAAGCAATTGCAAAGGATTACTTGCACCGTATTTCAGACCAATGTAATGATCTTATGATCAGATCTACATATTGATAGCCAATGATTATTTATTTATTTTTTATCATCATCATTATTTTAAAAAACACATGAGAAGCTATTTTGGACTTTGGAGGTAAATGTCAGGGATGGGCCAATTCAAGTCGGTTCATCCCCCAGTTCAAATTGCAACATCGTATGGTCAAATCATCAAATTCACATGCATCTACACACATAATATATATGGTCTCACTAATACATCCAACTGTTCTTAATGGCTAAGGCTGTTGTAGCAAAGACATAATAAGTGAAAGAAAAGAGCGAAAAAATAGAAAGAAGCATGATATAGTAGAAAATATAATTATCGGAGCCGTTGAAATTGAAAAATTTTCAGTTTGCAATACTCAACTCTGCAAGCAAATTTGTGTTCTCCCAACATAAAAGTAGGAGTATCTACTTTCTTACCAAAAAAAGGAAAAAAAAAAGAAGGCAAAGATGAACTAAAATTTATCATAAAAATAAGTTGGAAATGAAGAAGAGGTTGAAAGTGAAACTCTGTTGGTTTGCATCACTCACCTCTGCAAGAAAATCTGTCTTTTCCCAACAAAAAAGTCAAAGCAATATCTACTCCCCCGCCGCCCCTCCCCCCCAAAAAAAAAAAAAAAAAAAAGGAACTAAATTGTATCATAAAAATAAGTTGAAATTGAAGACGATTATGTGATAATAATTGACAAGTCACTCACACTTGAAATGTCAATCCAAAGACATTTTCACTCTGACAATAAAACCACTTAAGTCCAGGTTTTTAGACGGTGTCTCCAGTTGCAAGACATTCTTCGTATCTCAATGGGGATTTAAATTTGCTTTCCTGACGTGCAATTGAACCATCTACAATTTCCCAAAGTTGTCCAAAGTGAACCCATTCTCTATTCATCTATCTCATCAGCTTAAATGGTCAAAAATATTCCAAATAATCTACTACCAATTACTACCAAACATCTATATTTCCAAAATCGGAAGCTCTCCAGTGAACGCCAAAATGAGATCTCACCAAACTATGAAGAATTATATAGGAATATAAGATATAGTTTTCATTGCATACTAGTTCAACCAATAGACCATCAAGAAGGTTGACAGTAACACTTTAGAGAACCAAAAAATATAGGTATCTATTAACCTGTGTTTCCTTACCTCATGTGAAGAAACCTTATCTTCAATATCAACCACATCTAAACCTGCTCAAATATCAACATCCAAATTCAGTAACAAGTTAACATTCCAAAGTAAAAAAAAAAAAAAAAAAAAAAAAAGAAATCATAAAAATAGAAAAATTTGAAAAACAGGTCAAATTTTCGGCAACCCCAGCCAGTTTCATTCACTTTCTACTGCAAAAATCTCTAACTTCTAAAGCAAATTAGCATAGTGTGAACCCACAACAAACTAAACCAAAACATCAGTATTTTTGAATTTTTAGAAGTAGTTCTTTTCCTTTTTATGATAAACTCACTCTAACTGAAACCAGTTAATAACTGATGCTAAAAATGAAATATGACCTTTTTTTATAAGTGTGAAAATTAAGTTATGACATTTTGCCAAAAGTAGCAAGTATCAATGCCATTAAAAAATTTCAGTTTATAAGTCTCTGGAAGACGGGCAACTTACCATCAGTCATCCCAAGAGTGCAATCGAGGTGCCATCAATTGAAGCACAATGAAACACAAACAAATCAGCTCTACTACATAATTTATATATCTTGGTTATTCCCATTTTCTTTACACTAGAAAACTATTGTTAAGCTAGGTCTGGTTACAATTATGCAATAGGTAAATCATTGGCAAGCTGCTAAACATGAATGATAAATCATAAGCCCAAGTAAACATAGATCACCTGCTGCTTCCTGAGGTATCTTCTTGCCAAGGCCTTTAGTAGAATATATGATCTTACTTCTGCATGTTTTTCCATTTACTAGACAGCAGTTAAAAGTACATGAGCTTACTTCAAAGCAAGTAAAAGACACACACCAAGAGGAAAAAGGCAAGTTTAATGAAGACAACCCAAATTCTTCCCTACAAGGCTTGCGGAAAAGATTGATGGGTGCATAAATGTATGTGTTTTCCTATTGGTATAATATCATCAATCACACTCTAAAGGGATAATTGGATTAAGCAACAATCATAACAAATAAACATCTAGGAGGCTGCTTGAACATAATGATAAAATTCTAACATAACTTTTGTGACTCACTAACTGGTATCTTGAAGAGTACATACATATATTTTTTAATTTCTAGAAGCTAACAATTGCAGCAACACGTGCTCATAAGAAAATGACCACCAAGAAAGTAAATTTTACATCTATGATATAAAAAGTCACTCCATTCAGTATTATGTTGCAGGATATAAGAACTTACAATGTAGACTGGTCTACTTTCATATCTATAACTAGGTCATAGAAAATATAGATTGACCACCAAGAAAGTAAATTTAACAACTACGATATTAAAAGTCATTTCATTCAATATTATGTTGCAGGATATAAGAACTTCCAAGATTAAGACTCGCCTACTTTGATATTCATAACTAGGTCATAGACAATACAGAATGGGACATAAGATTTTTGAAGGCATGCTCCATCATCTAGTCCTCTCGTGCCTAGTATGCATAGGACATTCTGAAAACAATATCAATGAAAAACAACACAAACATACTTTCCAAATAAAATTATAGCATCAAAAGTATCCTCTTCTCCATCAGCTTTCAGCATGTCCCTGTGTATCGATCTAGTTACTCATGCCAAAATGCAGGGAAATTTAAATATCAATAGTTAAAAAGAAAATCATAACTGGAGATAAAAAACAGATTGAACATAGTAATGCACCCTCCGATTTCATTATATTTTGGTCACAGCATCAACTTCAACCATAGATTCCATAACTGCAGAGTGCATTTACTTATGTCCTGCTGATCTTCCATTTAAGCAATTCTATGCATTCAACATCAAGGATAAAACATAGAAAAAGTATAGAAGCCACTCACACGGAAAGCAATAAATTGGTATTGTCCTTATTATTTTAGTGGATATATGATATTATTTAGGAATACACATTGAATGCTATGACAAACATGAAAATACACACGAGTTTGCTTTTTTATGTATGTATTCAGGAAGTTTTTTTTATGTATGTATAGTCAGCAAACTTCCGCATATCATTCGAGAATCAAACACTGATCTTATTTTAGTTTAATAAATATAAATTTGTGCATTGGGTGGAGAAAAAACAAAAGAAATAAGAAATTTAAAAGTTCAATTTAGACAAGAAAGACTACATCTAAATGGATCACAACATCAAGTAATCTCTAAGCCATCAACAAAGAAATTTGATAATATACTTTCCACACGGGTTGAAGGAAATTATGACACCAAATAAGGACTCCATTTGATTGACAGATTTAATAAGGGAAACAAAAAGACAATGCAATGTAAATCACTTTCTCTTGTTTGGTAAACATGGAAAACAAAAAGATAACAAGAAGGAAAGTAAGGGGAAAATGTTAACTTTATATGCTTCTTTCCTTTTCTTTATTCCTAGTCCCAACCCTGTTTAAGAATTTTAAATTTTGAACTCGTATTTAATCAAGAAAACATGAAGGGGGAAACAGATCCAAATAGACAGCTAAGGGCCTATTTGACAACTGCTTTTGTTTGGTGTTTTCCGTTGTGGGTAGTGTATTGTAGCAAAGCAAAACACCTGTTTTGTAACTTTTGTTGCAATTTGAATAGTACCACATTTGTTGCCGAAAGGGACTTCCTAGCGATTTCATAACCTAACAAAACACTGTAGCAACAGTACCGATAAAAAATAATAATAAATAAAAATGCTGCAACACTTTTTTTTTCTACAATACTATTATCTTTATGTAAAATAGCATCGAAACTCCAGAGACAGTCCATCTCAACAAATTAAGGACAATAACAATGACGGGATACATTTGCTAAACAAAAAGACAGAGATAGGTGATTGGCCCAGAACTAAAAGATGCATTGTAAACTAGAATGACAAAAACCAAACCCTCTCTTTAGATTTATTGTACGACTGAAGAAAGAGCAAAGATTCACCAAACCACCAATCAAAACCTTAGAGATTGGCTAATCAAACCAATAAAACCCCAAATTACAAACCACATTCCCCAAAATCAGCAACTTATTAGTACCACACCAATCAAATCAATTCATAAGCATAAACCAAAAAAGAACAGGACACATTAAACCTCAAGATTACCATGTTATTGCCTAAAAAAAAAAACCTCGTTTGTCCACGGAACATGAAAGAATAGTAGAATAGAGCCTAGAGATATCTGTAGAGTACGAAGAGGGAGACGAAAGGGGTGAACGGGGAACAACCTTTGAGTTGAGTTTGGTATTGTTGCATTACATGACCATATCGCTGACTTTGGCTTTGGAGAAGAGTTTATCACTCTCTCTAAAACCTTCTCTCCACTCTCTAACGGATACTTCTCCTTCTGTCGCCTCAGCTCCGACTGGTGTTCAGTCTTCTGCCACCAACAACATACATTATTTTCAGAACCCAAATTCCAATATGACCACGGCCCAAATTCGGTCAAAATTTCATAAAATACTTTTTGGGGTTGGGCCAAACTGAATTTGAGTTCAAGCCAATATAAGCCCATACCAGCCCAGTTATTATGAAGAAGCTATTATTGTTTTTTTTTGGGCTTGTTTGTTTGTGGGTAATCTGCTTAGTTGCCTCTTTTGTTGCCTTTAGGCCGAACTCAATGTTTGGGAAGCCTTCATCTTACAAGTTTACGACCCCATTCTATCAATCAAGTCAAAAATAATTTTTAATAAACTTTTAAAACTCAAATTAATTAAGGATCCTATATAGTTGTCTTAATTAACAGTCTCAAAATTTGAAACAATTATAGTATATAACTTTCTTGGTCCCTTTCAGCTTAACTTTACAAGCCAAAGAATCCGTGTCTTAATTAAACTTACTCTATAGAATTTGAAGTAATTATAACTTTAGGCTAAGTTTGTTTCCACGTGTGTGTGTGTATATATATATATATAGATAATTTTTTATTTTTTTATTTTTCGGTGTTTGTTAAAGATCTAAATTCAAGTTAAGATCGAGTTGATTGGGTGGGACATGTAAAATAACTTGTCGAAAATTAATGTATAAATATTCTTTTTTAAGTTTTAATATTTTTTTTCGTAAATATTTTACGACAACCAAACATCAAAAATAATTAAAAAAAATTCTAATTTTTTTTTTTTTTTTAGATCCAAACAAACAGTAGCATTCAATTAATGAATATCCCTCCCTATTTATTTACCCTAAATTTTTATTTGCATTTACCCAAAAATAAAAATAAAAATTGAATATCCGTCCATTGATATAAAATTGCATGATCACCCGCCCACCTTTAAATTCCATCCAACTGCATTTTGCATGTGTTGACCAGATCATATATATTAAAAAAATTATAGAATTTCCAATCAGAATGATGTAACAATTAATGAGATATAAACACTTTAATAGCATTAGTAAAATCCACAACCAACTCACATACCTTCCGTTTCGAATTATTGAACACCATTTTAGGGGAGAATGTCCTTCTTGAACACTTTTATTGGAGTCATCATAAGACAATATTATAAGTAATTGTCATTCTTATATATATTAAAAAAATGGTGCTTAGGCCAACAAATCTGACCGGCAGATTTGTGGGGCAGATGGCTTTAAAGCCCATTGATTACATGCAATGGGTGATCATGGTTATTTTATTGGGAGTAGTATTTCTTAGATACCTCCTGTCTATATTTAAGTCCTCCTACGCATTCCAACGAATTATTTCTGTACTGCATTGAAGGTATAACACACTGCAATAAATTTAGTAGATGGTCCATGATCAATTATTAGATCATTTATTTGTCCATAATCAATTATTAGATCATTTATTTATTTTTTCTTGAATTAATTCATTTTTAATTGGTGCATGCAAATGGAGTTATCACTTTCATCATCTATATATAACATGTTTTGGGACCAGAGGAGTGTATATACTTGAATTCCGGAAAGTACGTACAGTTAGTAGTATCACTATGTCTGAAGTAGACGTGAGTGTGAAGAAAGGAGAGCCAACCCTGGTTCCTCCTGCAGAGGAGACAGAGAAGGGTGTGTACTTCCTATCGAACCTGGATCAAAACTACCAGATGACGGTTCGAACCATTTACTGCTTCAAATCATCAGAAGAGGGTAAAGGGATCGAGAAAGCCGCGGAAGTGATCAAGGAGGCCTTGTCAAAACTTCTTGTTCACTACTACCCGGTTGCCGGCCGACTGACACTCAGCTCCGAGGGAAAGCTGGTGGTGGAATGCAATGGGGAAGGTGCTGTTTTTGTGGAGGCAGAAGCCAACTGTACCATACAAGATATCATAAATATAGTTGACAATACAGAGCTAGGACTCGTGGATCTTGGGAACAAGCTGGTTTATGATATTCCGGGTGCCAAAAATATACTAGACTTTCCTCCTCTAGTAGCTCAGGTACGTGCGTACCATGCATGCAAATTATTGTTTCATAATTAATGTCATTCGCAAATATACACTTGAAAAATACATAATCCCTACATAAAGTTTTAAACTTAATTATATATGTATATAGATCATAGATGTATATAGACAAAATTATATATATATATATATAAAAATTAATAATCCATACACTACAAAAGGACAATGTTTATCTACTCACTGATGAGTAGCCACATCTTACTCACCCCTTATGTGTTCCACCAATAATAAAATAACACATCAACTTTAATAATAAAATCAGCAAAATAATAAAAAAACCATGTGTGATTATTCAAGAAAGAGGACAACGTAGGCTATTTTGTTATTAAAACTAATGTGTTATTTTGTTATTAGAATGCATAATGGGTGAGCAGGATGAAGTTACTCACCGGTAAATAGTTAAGCATTATCTTATACAAACTTAACCAACTTTTATACACTTGTTTTGTTTATATAATTCTTGCACGTCTAGCTTGTCTCTAGAAGTATATATATATATATATATATATATTAATGTAGTTATCTTGCAGGTGACAAAATTCAAATGTGGAGGATTTGTTCTAGGGATACGCGCGAGCCATTGTATATTTGATGGAAATGGTAGCATGGAATTCATAAACTCATGGGGTGAAATTGCGAGAGGCTTGCCCATGAAGGTTTCACCATTCCTGGATAGAACCATACTCAAAGCTAGAAATCCACCCAAGATTGAGTTTCCTCATCACGAATTCACTGAAATCAAAGATATGTCAAACATTGCGGATCTATACAAAGAAGAAGAATTGGTATACAAATCATTCTGCTTTGACCCTGACAAGCTTGAAAAGCTCAAAATGAAAGCCATGGAATTAGACGACGCCAAGTGCACTACATTTGAAGCACTCTCAGCTTTTGTATGGAGAGCTCGAAGTCAGGCTCTAAAACTGAAGCCTGAACAACAGACAAGGCTCCTCTTGGCTGTTGATGGACGGTCTAGATTCAACCCACCAATGCCAGATAAGTTCGTTGGGAATGTGGTTGTGCTAACAAATTGTGTTTGTAGTGCAGGTGAGCTAATTGAGGAGCCACTGTCATTTACAGTGAGACGAGTTCAGGAGGCAATTAAGGCAGTGACAGACAGTTACCTCAAGTCTTGCATAGATTATTTGGAAGTAACAAGAGCTAAACCTTCTCTTACTGCAACACTTCTCATCACTTCATGGACTAGGCTGTCTTTTCACACCACCGACTTTGGATGGGGAGAGCCAGCACGAGCAGGGTGGACCGATCTCCCAGGGAATGAAGTAGCTTTGTTCCTTTCTCAGGTGAAAGATAGGAAAAACATTTATGTCATTCTGGGTTTGCCACCCTCTGCCTTGAACATCTTCCAACAACTCATTACAATCATTTGAAGATCGAGACAAAACGTACTTCCAGCTACGTACGTACGGTCCAATTTTATTACAAATTATAGTATAAGTTTTCCTTGATTTTCGTCACACACACACAACACACACACACATATATATATGTACTTGTGAGTTATGATTGATTGTGTTATTCTGTACGTACGTGTAAAAGTATTTATTTGTGACGCCTTAATGCACTTGGATCAGTTCTATATTTTAAAAAATAATATCAATAAATGCGATCCCCTGAGGGCAAATTTGAGATTCTATTCATGCCGATGCAATAAAAAAACATATCTATCATGTATAACAAAAACAATGCTTAGTTACTTACTGAGTAAAGTGAAACTAGTTACGTGATCCAATAACAAAATAACACATTACCTTTAATAATAAAATAATCTATACATTTCTCTTCTTTTTCGAATCAATCATTGAATAAATGTATATAATGTTTCTAGGTGTGAATTATTTTATTATTAAATGTGATGTGCTATTTTATTATTGAACAACATAAGAATGAGTAACTTCACCCTACTCACCAATAAATAGCTAAACATTATCCACAACGGACAATTGCACAACACTGCCTTTAACTAAGAAAAATTGCACCAACATGTGCTCATAAGAAAATGACCACCGATCAAGTAAATTTTACATCTACCACAGAAAAACTCACTTCATTCAATATTAACAACTTGCACGATTAAGACTGACCTACTTTCATATCCATATATGACTAGGTCATATAAAATATAGAAAGGGGCATAATTAAGATTATTAATGAAGGCATGCTCCATCATCTAACCCTCACATGCCTAGTATGCATACAACATGCATATATATATATATATATATATCAATGAAAAACAACACAAACATACTTCCCTAATATAAAAAATCATAACTGAAGACAGAAACAGATTGGACCACCCTCCACTTTCATAATATATATATATATATATATATATATATATTGGTTGCAGCATCAAGTAATTCAACCCCAGATTTCACAACTGCATGTACATGTCCTTCGCGCTGATCTTCCAATTAAGCAATCCTATGCATCCAACCATCAAGGATAAATTAAACGTAGAAAGAAGTATAGAAGCCACTGACATGCCAAGCTAACAATAAATTGGTATTGTCCTTTTTTTTTCTTTTTTTTTTTTAGTGGAGATATGAGATTTTTCAGGAACACACATTCAATTAATGCTGTGACAAACATTAAAATATAAACAAGCTAGTTTGCTTTCTTATGCATAAAGTCAGCAAGATTCCACATATCATTCGAGAATTATAAATGTATTAATTTGAAATATTTTTAGTCAATACAAAGTTGTTATTAATTTCTATATATTATTTTGTTCAGAAACTTTTATCTTATTATTATTTCAAGTTGTCAGCTAAAATAAATTCCTAGCTACAACTGGGTTTCAAAAACTTGATGACCGAGTCATTTATAAAATCTGCTGGAACGTGGAGGTCTATTTATTTTTAATAATTAGTAGGTGAACAATACAAGCTAGCTAATTTATCATAGTATATTAATATTGTCATTAATCTAACCACAAGAAAAAAAAAAAAAAAAAAAGAAAAAAAAAAGAAGGTTTCTTCCACACAAGTTGAAAGATTTTACTTACCTAACAACAATTAAAAATTAAAATAAAAAAATAGAATGATATTTTATACCCACAAAAGCTTATTATAGCTAGTCTTATTTTATTTATATATTTTGGTAGCAGATGGCGGTTTAGTTTCCACATTTTAACAATTAGTTTTTAGCACAGGCTTCCAAGTCTGCAACAAAATCTCCAACAAACACAGAAATTAAATTGAAATGAAGACGTTCACGTTATTACATATCATCTCTGACCAAATTATTCAATGAATTGCTGTTGTATTGTCACTTAAGTTTTAAAATTCAAAGAAGGAAACCTTAACCCTCACGGTGGCGCTCTAGTGGTTAAGAAATTTTAAGCGTGTCAAAAAAACATACTTGAGTATGTTTAAATGATATGTCTGATTTATAAGTAATTATATATATCCTAGATTTACCTTGCAGTGGTTGAAAGGGTTCCTCATTTTCAAACAAAAATAATAATAAAAAATAAAGGCAACCAGACTTTTCATAATTTCTGTCGTCAAAAAAAAAAAAAAAAAAAAAAAAAAAACGTTTTTTTATATTTGTGAAGAAAAAAAGAAAACATAAAAATAGTGTTTGTATCACTGTTTTCGCAAATAATGTTTGGGAAACCTGCATCTTAGAACCCCATTCTGTGATTCTATCAATCAAATTAAATTATAACCAACTTAACTTTACAAGTCCAATTAATTAATAATCCTAATTCACTGTCTTAATTAAAATCTCTCTAAAAACTAAAATAATTATATTTGAGTCTTTAATTGTCGCTTTCAACTTAACTTTACAAGCCAAAGATTATCGTTGTCTTAATTAATCTCTATTCTATGGAATCTGAAGCAATTATAACTTAGTCGAATTGTATTAATGAATATCCCCCATTGATATAAATTTGCGTGTTAACCCTGCTCACCTGCCCACTTTCCATCCAACTGCATTTTTTTTTTCATATGTTGACCAAACCACATAATAATAATAATAATAATAATAATAAATGCAATTTTTATATAGTTAGATCCTTCCTATATAAGTCCTGTTAAGCATGTATAATTGTCCTCCTCAGCTTCTGTACTGCTTTACAGGTATATCATGTTTCTATAAGTTGAATTCTGTGAGTTCCATTTAGTACGTTCGACCCTCTCTCTATATTCACATACGTGTCAGCTATGCATAAGTAATGTAATGTAATATAGATGCTAACTACTTTATTTATAGGTCATCGGCCAGTAAATTAGTTGGTAGAGTGCACAGCTCCCAGAATTGACATACCATGTTAGAGTCTCCCCTTCTACTAATTTGACATGATAAAAATAATAATAATAAAAAAAAAAAAAATCGATTTGCACTGGGATTTAAAGTCTGTTTTTCTAGCTTTTACAAGAACCAAACTAACACATAACAATCAATATATAACTTTAAATTATTTTTTTGTGAATTAGGTTTTGAATTTCTTGTAATGGCGTATGGTAGTAGTAACTCTATGAAGAACTGATTGTGAAGAAAGGAGAGCCAATCCTAGTTCCTCCTGCAGAGGACACGGAAGAGAAGGGTCGACTATTCTTTCTCTCCAACCTGGACCAAAACTACCAGGTCTCAGTGCCAACCATTTACGTACTGCTTTAAATCATCAGAAGAGGGTAAAGGCAACGAGAAAGCTGCGGAAGTAATCAAGGAGGCCTTGTCAAAACTTCTCGTTCACTACTACCCAGTTGCCGGCCGACTCACATTCGGCTTCGACGGAAAGCTGATGGTGGACTGCACTGGGGAAGGTGCTGTTTTTGTTGAGGCAGAAGCCAACTGTACCATACAATATATAGTTGACAATACAGAACTAGGACTTGTCCATCTTGGAAAGAAGTTGGCTTATGATATTCCTGGTGCCAAAAATTCCCTAGACATAACTCCTCTAGTGGTTCAGGTATATATTAATTAATTCTACCATGCAAATTAATCAATTATCTTTATTTAAAAAAAGAAAAAAGAAAAAAAACATCTTGCAGGTGACAAAAATTAATGTGAAACGATTATCCCAGTTTGGTTAATTTAATGGAAGAGGATGGAAAAAATTTCAGAAAAATTCAATTCAACTTTGAGAATGCATGGAGTTAGGGGCAGCTAGCTAGCTTTGCCTAATTGTCCTTAGCGTTGAGCCACGTCACTAGTTAGTGTTGGGAGTCAATGCCCACACATTCGCACAGTAGCAAAACAGAAAAACGAACCTCATTAACGGGTCAATGGCCTAGTGGTACTAGATTCTTATTTTTCAAAGAGAGGTAAAGGGTTCGAACCTCGGAAAAAGAAAAAAGAACTTCTTGTCTACGCACACATGATCAGTTTTATTATTTCCTAGCTTGAAATGAAGGAAATTTATTTTTTCCAAGTGTACAGTATCTATCTTATAGTTTTAGATATCTTCTTTATGTTTCAAAGTAGAAGCAGAAGTATAAGGTGAGAATTTAACTTTTGAGACAAATTTGCTGTTTGATAAAATCAAAAATTAAGAATTGAAAATTTTTAAAGCTGAAATTTTTATATGGTAAATAATTTTTAATATCATTTTTAATTTTCATCCCTCAGTTTTAAATTATATTTCTATCACTCAAAATGATAAAGGTCAGTTAAAATAAAATAAGATATCATTTTTCATTAGATTCCGACATACCCCAATAAACTGGAACTAATAGACTAAGGAGTTTGTTGATGGTTTTATGAGTGGGGGCAAAGACAATGGATTTTGGTGAATTGAAAAATAAAAAAGGGGTGTACGTGATTAGAGAGTGCGGCGCTTGTCCTTATTTACACTAGGAAAAATGCTAAGTATGTAATATGTTGTACAGATACAAAACTTAAAATCCATGTCCACACTGTATATATATTTTGAATAATCCTAACCAACAAATTGATTTCAAACCCAATACATCCTTTATGCTATGAATATTTACTAAGCAATATCACTATAAACTTCATATATAGCTTCAAAACTCAACAACAAAAAATTAAGTAATAATTTACCCAGGTGGATCGAATCCTGGGTTAAATGCTGATGATTTATTTTATGAGCGAGCCTATCAGAAAGAAACTAAAGGTGGATGGTATAGGAATGTAATGCCTATATCAGCATAAATAAAAATTTCATATAATTGAATAATTTTTATGAAAATATTCACAACACTTTTTAATTCATAATTCGAATTATGATAAAAGTAAAAATAAATAAATAAATAAAGAACAACTACCAAAAACAAAAACGTGAATGCAACTACGTTTGATGAAGGATAAGTGAAGCAGTATGATCAGCTGCAACGGGTTTCAAATGGAACTTGCTGATGTTGTGGGCCTGTTTGTTGATAAACCCCCATTG